GAATAATTGGTCTTGTTGCGTTATCAATGACGTGAGAGGTTGAAAAAGAAGGTTGTTTAACTTATAAGATAGTTTATGGGCTATTAATGTAGCCATTGTTTAATTATTTATTTGAGTGCAACCAACAAAACATACACCAAAATACATGATAGGTTCTTAACACATTTTAACATCGTACCTATAGTGTAGCCTTAATTAAAGGCTGCCACGACACGCATTATAAAGTTCACTTATCAAAAAAAAATACATCAAAGTAATAATATAGGTACTTGTTAAATTTAAATTGTAATAATTGTTGATATTAGGTTATTTATTGCTAGAATATTAAAAGGACCACTGGCTCGTTGGCCGAGTGGTCACAAGTGTGACTGGCCGGGCATGAGGTCTCTGGTTCGATTCTCGGGTATGGCAAATATTTACTGGGTTTTTAAAAAATCTTAGCAGTTGCACGGAGTTTAGAAATGTGCCCGGTGCGTGGCAATAGGCTCACCCCTTATTACATGGGACTCATAACATAAATAGTGCAAAGTGGGTGTTACATTGTACAGTGGCATTAAGTGCCGTAATATGCACTTCTGCCTACCCCTTCAGGGGTAAAGGCGTGATGTTATGTTATGTTCATATTGAAGGTTTTAGGTAAGGTTCAATGAGGTTTTTTATGGGCACAAGTGACTGACTACGTACTATTTATTATAAGAAAAAAGCTTAATTCTCCTCTCGTCCACTATTTTAACCTTTAAATAAGATTATGAGAAAAGAGAACAAATTATCCAGTAAGTACTTAGTGTTGATTGGTCTTGAAGGGACTACCTGTTACGTCAAACTAATGGACAACATATTAGGCCCTTAATTAGATGATTCTACGTATGTGCCTATATTTGGCAAATATTTAATACTTAGAATTGAATGATCTTGTAGCCATTATGATGATGATGATGAAATATAATGACCAATGTCGTGAAGTAGGTACAGACAACTGTTTATCATATTAAAACAGATTATGAACCAATTGACAGGATTTTCCCCAAATATTATGTTGATTTATTTATGTATTATTACTCATTAGATACGTATAATTAATTATGTTGATCCTTAATAAGTAACAATCATCATGACTCTAATTTTATTAATGTAACCTTGTTTCTATATATTTAAGTATATTAGGGAGAAATCTACCATTAACTTTTCTTAGTAGAAGGTAGGTAAATTGGGTCGACTATCGATTGTTCTTAAGCAAAGGAAAGATTCTACCTATTTATTGATTAATTTTCCCCTGTTATAGGCCCCTACATTAATGAACATTTTATTCTAAAGTGATTTAAGACCTTAAGTATACATAGTTTACGTATTATATCAATTCCAAACACGTGAATTTATATTTAACACAATCTGTCTCATTATAAATTAACTTATTCATGACTATTTTAATTGGTCACATACACATGTTTTGTAAACGTGCAAGAACACAATAACACAAAGCGCGCATTATTTACAATTATCTTATCGACACAATTTGACCCTTTCCCATCTCTAAGTACACAACAAACAAGTTTTTCTTATGCAACCTTCTTGCGATTTCCTTATTATGGCAACTTTGAACCAATTACAGTGCCATCTCGTTCACACGTGCGTAAATTGTAGCGAGTAAGCGAGACGACATGATCGTATGATCCGTCATGCGAGTTTCATCGCGAATCCTTTACGTCAAAATAGGAAAACAAAACTGTTTAAGTCGTTTCTTGATTTAGAAATGTTTAGTTATTATAGTTTTAATGAATTAATTAAAGCTGTTATCTGTTCTACTGTGTAAAATAGTGTTTCAAGTGAATTTTCATTGATAAAAATGTATCAAGGGATGAATGGATTGTATTCCGATGCGCCGTACAGGTTAGAAAAAAAAGTTATTATACGAGATTCTCCGAATTCGTAATTCTGTTTGAAATACGATGTTTTTCTAGCATTTCGTATTTTATTTATGTTTTCTAAACGCCGATTTTTGTGTTTTAAAGCTAGAAATATGTGTAAAATGTGACAGAACGTTCAAAGTATGCCACTGACCGTGATTTCTCCGAGTTTCTCTGCATAATCAAAATAAATGTATTTAAACTATGTACTTTTACTTAAAATTCTTATTTTAAAAATCACGTTACTCTATAATTGTGTTTTTTATTTTTATTCTGTTATGTTCTGTCTGTGGTACTCTTTTTGGCAAGTTTTATTTGGTTCAAAGTAAATTCAATTTTATTTTACGAAATTTAAAAATAAGTTATTGTATATAACGTAAAAATAATCGTGGTTGCATTCTTAAAATCTGTTTTTAACTTAATTAACCTATTAAAATTATGGCTTTGTAGTTTTTTTTAATTATTCTGTCATCTCATACCATAATAATATTATTCAATTCTAGTTTTTGACCACAGCTTTGCTCATAAACAAATAATAAAAAAAATAAATTTATTCTAATAAAAACTTATAACATTTGATCTTATTGGACAAATAAGTTAGTTTAAAGTCAACTTGGAATCTAATAAGACTCTTTTTAAACGAAAAGTGTAATTTTAGGACAAATATTTCCATATTTTCATGTTTAGATAAAAAAAAACTTTTTGTGTGTTGTTATAAGTCTTGATTTATAATTAAAGTTACATTAAATAAATATTTGACATTAGGATTGCAGTGTACCCTAGTTTCTGTCTAACCCCGTGAAAGTCGCTATAAATAAGAAATTGTCAAAATTCATCTCAAATCAAAATAAATGTAAATTAAATTATGATATACATTTATCTCACAGATCTTTTTAGTTCATGTATTGCAATAAGTACTTGTGCAATGAAAATTGTTTGGTTCATTACAAAAATTGGGGTTATCCTTTCCAATGTTATGGGGGCCCGGGGTTTTTTGACACCCGCTTCTCATTCATGAGTCCAGTCCAGGTTCAAAACCTACCAACAGCAAGTACTTATGTGACTTTTTTCCTAGTTATATATGTACTTTCTAAGATAATCTAGACACTTCTGAATGAAAAAATCATGAGAAAACCTGAGCATATAATTTCTAATTATATTGCCAACCAGCATTGAGCAAGCATGGTGATTAATCCTTAAACCTTCTCCGTGTGAGAAGAAGCTTTAAGTCAGCAGCAACCACTTATTGGCTGTTAACTCGTCGAGTACCGGTTTTATAGACACAATTAAAGAACAATAGGTCGCGGTCACCGGTGACCGCTTGGTGTTTGACAGTTTAATGATGAAATATGATATCAGTTGAAACAACTGATACATACCTGTATCATATTTTAAGTCAGGTTTTGAAGTGGTTAACATTCTGTACAGCAATTACATCTTCTGGTAGCTTGTTCCATGCTTTGACTCTGCAATTACTTAACCCTCTGAGTACCGTCATTATAGAGACAATTAAAGAACAATAGGTTGCGGTCACCGGTGTCCTCGCGGTGTTTGACAGTTTAAAATGTGTCTAGTCATAGTTCGGAGGCTGAGCAGTGATATAGGTTAATTACATAGATGATGCAGATAAAACCTAATATTATCTCTTAAATCTTAATTCTTGATAATTTAATCAATAAATTACACAAATACTTCTTAATAGATAACTATTATCATTTTATCATCATTAATTGTTATATTTATCAAATCAAGATTTATTTACTTAGATAGTAAATAATAATCAACCATTTGTTTTTGATTTCGGCCTGTTTCAGTAGTGTTGTGTTGTCAAAATGAAATAATATTGCAATAAAATGCTTAAAATTATTACAGTATTCATTAAACCGTTGAACTTATAACTTGTGAACGACTGGACGGGTGTTTGTTATGTGAATATTGAGTATAAACAATTTAAAAAGTGTTTTAAAAATAGTGAAGTTGTTTAATACTCAATTTTGAGTGGTCTTGGTACACATTTTTGACAAGATGTGGGGTAAAAGGCATGTATATGAATATTAATATTAGATTTTTAAAGTATAATGTTTTAGCAGTAGCAGTATTTTGATTTTTCATACCTAGATTAAAAAGTGAGATGATTTTTAATATTTATTGTTATTTCACCGAAGGTATATATTTAAAAAATGTGTTCTGTGACGTTAATTTATTTATTTATTTATTTTACATAAGTACAGATACAGACGACAGATTGAAATCGTACACAACAATCTTAATTATAAATAGTGAGCGAACCTGAAGTCCAATAATAATTTATTACACCTGTACATAACCCAGTTATATCAAATTACATAACAATTCCCAAATGTTAATCCATTTTTCTGTAATAATAGATTATTAATAGGATTCAAGACAGTTCAATTAATAGGTGGTTCACTTAAAGATTATCATCTCTCGTGTTTCTCGTACACACGGGTGTATGTACGAGAGAGTTGTGTGCCCATCGCGCAATTGTACACACGGGTGTACGAGAAACGCGCACCGATTGGATATTTTTTCTTTGACGTATATTTTCAAATTTGCAACCCGTTCTTTATTGGATTGAACAGAATAGTTAATTCGCTTTTCTATTAAAATATTTATGTGTGTGTACGAGAACGCGCGCTTACCCGTGTGTACGAGAGGCGCGCCAGAGGTTATTGCCCAAGTGCTGAAATGCCCCTCAATATTAAGTCCGCTTAAATATAGTCCTGTCTCTACCTGCCTTTCAGTATTAACTCGTCGAGGACCGTATTTATAGACACAATTAAAGAACAATAGGTTGCGGTAACCAGTGACCACTTGATGTTTGACAGTTTAAGGCATAAGAGCGGTGGACTCCTACAAAATTACAATTTAAATAATAAACTGGAGAACATTTTTCTATAAAAACATAATTACATTGTTGTTTGAATTATAATTACAATATTCTATTGAAGTTCGCCACTCAAGCTTTTCTTTAATCAACCCGCTTGGACTGTTATCCCCTATGGTCCCCCTTTAAAGATATTAAAGCCTTGGTACATTATTTTATCAACTAACAAAATAAAATTTAATTTCCAGGCCGTCTATGTCCCAGGGTACGGTGATCCACAGCCAGCGCTTCCAGGAGAAAGACTTCACGGTAGCCACCCCCGAGGAGTTTGTCAGGAGGTTCCAGGGGACTAAACCGATCAATAAAGTATGTATTGATATTTGCTGTCTGTCTGTGCGCCGTGCGGGTACTTAATACCTATAGATTTTTGTGCGCTTTTGGCGAATAGATAAAGCGTTTCTTAAACCCGTATAATAATGGGGTAGACGACTAATTTTTATTTTAATGTCCGTCTGGTAGATTATTTAAAATCATTAGACACGTATTTTTTCTTTTCTCACAGAAACGAATAGTTTCGAAGATATATTGATTTGAAATGTCGCGTGACGTCACTTCTCAGTACATTTTATACTAAGAAATGACGTTTTAGCCCCCACTTCTAAACTTTGATTCGTTTTATCTAAGTATTGTTTTATTATACGACAAAATAAAAAAATACGTGTCTAATATTTTTTCATTACCTAACTTACGGACTAATTATATTTTTAATTTTCATACCCTGTCATCATCCCCATTATCCCTAAGCAGTCACCGGTGGCCGCTCTCCACTAACTAGATTATAGACCTTATTTCCAATGTTTAGAAACTACTTTTGTATGAACGAATTTAGGTAATGATTTTCAAAAATGTTCAACAGGTTAAAGGTTTCTAGACTAGTACTCTTCACTAAGGAACTGACCGACGGACTGACATTTTTTTTTAATATAACATCATCACGCCTTTTATCCCCGAAGGGGTAGGCAGAGGTGCACATTAAGGCACTTAATGCCACTGTACAATGTAACACCCATTTTTCACTATTTATGTTATGAGTCCCATGTAATAGGGGGTGAGCCTATTGCCATATACTGGGCACAATTCCAGACTCCGTGCTACTACTGAGAATTTTGAAAAAACCCAGTAATACTTTGCCCGACCCGGGAATCGAACCCGAGACCCCTTGCCCGGCAGTCGCACTTGCGACCACTCGGCCAACGAGGCAGTTTTTTTTAATATTTTGTTTTGAAATAAATGACTTTGACTTTAGTTTAAGCGTGTAATTTGTTGTGATTTTTAACCACACTGGCCAATAGCCGTATTTAATTATTAGCCATCATCGTCCCTCTGAAGGACAAAAGCAAGTTGCTTAATAATTAAAAACTTAAAATAGAATGTTAAGCTAAGGTCTTTGGTTAGTTTCCCAGGGTGGGCACTGGGCATAACTAAATAGTATTGTTGTTTGAAATCCCCAACCCGCAATGAGCTAACATGGTGATTAATACTCCAACCTTCTCTGTGTGAGAAGAGGCTTTGCTCAGCAGTGGGCATTTATAGGGTACTACCCGCGGCTTCGCTCGCGTCACAAAAAGATAAATATAGCCTATGTGACATATACCAATACACACAGCTCCATCTATACCAATTCTTTTGTTTTCCCTCGGGAAAACATTTTCCGGGATAAAAAGTACCCTATTATTTAATCCGGACTTCTAACTTTACGTCTACAAAAATTCAAAGCAATCGGTTTAGAAGTTACGGCGTGAAAGCGGAACAAACAAACAAACAAACTCACTTTCCCATTTATAATAGTAAGGATTAATGAAGTCTATTGTATCCGAGTTATGGCAATAGTTTCACCCCCTAAAGAATACAATGAACACCCACTCTTTCCCCAGTCATCTTATGAGTCCCATGTAATAGGGGGTGAGTCTATTGCATCATTTTTATTTATCATATTAATTACGTTTACAATCAGCTGTTTATATCAAATAAACAAATGTTATTCAGTCAGATACGATTACAAAGATTATGTGTTATTGAATCATAATCTTTGATACTTGATAAAAAACGACACAATATAAACATTCAAAACAAAAATAAAAAAGAAACATAAATAAACCAGTGCATAAACCAATAAGTGGACACAAAACAGTGATAGGTACATAGCATAATTAACATAACAGTGCTAAAATCTAATTTATAAACAATCTCAAATAAACAAAAATTAAAAAGTGCAAAAAGTGTATAATGTAAAAAAAGAGAAATACCTCTTTTAAAAAAAAAAAAAAAAAAGACTGTGACCAAAGTTCAACATCGTAAAACATTCCAATTGAGATTAAATGAGTCATTTCTAACCGTCCCACTCATTTAAATAAAACAATTATTGTTCAATCCAGTGCTAAATTTCACAAGCAAATAATTAGCTCATTTGGCTCAGTGGCGCTAGGTGGGGTGTCATTCATCGATAATCGACGCGAACCGAGTTCAATCCCCGCAAAGGGAGATTCTTTTTGTGATTTCTTTAAGCCCAGATTTCTACATAAACTAACGTTCACAGCCCCCATACTGTCACTAAGTACTAAAAAACACAACAGAGCGCGCCTGCATCGAATAAAAATGAACTTCGAGAGCAATAATATAACTTATCGGAATAATCCTCGGAGAGCGATCTCCGTAACAGACTTATCAGACGTGGTAAATAATAGCGAAAAAACTATGTTGGATGCTACAATGATGAGTGTTCCGGACAGCTTCCTCCACGACACCATTGACGAAACAAGTGAATTGACAAGTGAAATTATCTTACTTAAACAACAGCTATTCAGCGCACATCAAGAAATTGATAATTTAAACATAGAAAACCTGCGCCTTAAAACCGATCTACAAAACATGATCACAACTTGCAATGCTTACAAAAAAATATGCTCAACGCCTGAGAAAAAACGTAAAGCATCAATTCGTAACAAAACACCACGCCAAATTAATTCTCCAAGTGACCTAAAAACCAGGCGCGAAGTACTGATACCTGAATATAAAACCAGCAAACAAAATAAAGGGACACAGAATGATAACAGTCGTAATGAGACAGCACATCAAATTAGAGAGCCATCTGCTTCTGAACCATCAAAAATTCAGATTGCGAACTCTAAAGAAAAGATTAAGCTGTGCATATTAAGTAGTAACAAATACAACAGATCTTTATCCTCATAGAAGAAGTATTTTCGGAACATTTCGACTTCTGTAACTACATAATGCCTAACAGTACGATAAAGCAATTACTAAGCGGCATTGATGAAAAATTAAAGAAGTTCACGCTAAATGATTACTGTCTTATCTTCATTGGAGAAAATCATATAACTTCGAATCAAAACTACTACATTAACACTATAAAGTTAATAAATGAGTCCCTTAGTAAAATTACGCACACAAACGTAGTAATTTGTCTTCCTACGTATAGGGCAGGATCGCTTATACACAACTTCAGAGTTGAGATGTTCAACAACCTCCTTCATCTAGACAACCAAAACCATAAATACGCCTATATCTTCGACAGTAATCTCAATCTAACACTTGACATGTTCTCTTACACTACGGGTAGAATCAATAAATATGGGATGAAAAATATTTATGATAATATTATGAGTAACATTAAGATCGATCTACACCTATATTATAAGACAAATATATTGACAAACAGCAACAGCAGGCAAGACTGTGACGGGGATTTAACGAGTCCCACTGAAGACAAATTCAATTCAAGCCTGCAAGAAAACCCTAACTTTTTTCGTTTATAATAGTATACATATCCTTCATCAAAATATTGCTGGACTCCTAAATAAAAGCGATACGCTTACTGTATATCTGGAGGAACTAGAAAATAATAGAAAACAAATCGACATTATATGCATAACTGAACATTTCATGACACCTGAACAAGAAGGAATAGTTAATATTCTAAATTACAGCTTAGCAACAAGTTTCTCCAGACATAATAGAAGAGGTGGCGCGTGTATCTTAACCAGGTATGGCCACAAATTTAAAGTATTAAACCTACAAAAATATTCTTTAATCAACGTAATTGAATGCTGCGCTATTGAATGATAGAACATAACATTATTATTGTTTGTATATATAGGATACCCCAATCTAATTTGGATAAATTTTTTGAAAACTTGAATAATATTCTTCATTTTCTATGTTTAAAGTTAAATAACAAAAAGATTGTATTGTGTGGGGACTTTAATATTAACATAATGAAAAGGAATAAACAAACTTTAGATTTTGAGTATGCATTGTTAAATTACAATCTAAAATTACAATTTTCTCAACCCACTAGGTTAAGCAGTGGAACCTGCTTGGACAATATAGCGCACAATATAAATGCTTGTAAAGGAGAAATTATAGAATTGGGCTTGTCAGATCATACCGCACAGCTATTGAAATGTCCTGTTAAAAAAACGTGCGTCTTAAAACGTTGGAAAATTAAAAGACGGAATTATTGTCAAGATAATGTAAACAAATTTAGAAATTGCATTAAATGTCTCAGTTTTTCGGATATATATACAAAAAGTGACGTCAATGAGGCCTACACCCGTTTCATTGACTTATTTAAATGTTTTTGATCTTTGCTTTCCCTATGAAATAATAACAAACTCGATCACTAAAAAAGCTAATTGGATCACTAAAGGAATAAGAACATGCAGTAAAAAGAAACGGCAGTTACTATGGCAATATAGAATGAATCCTACTCGAAGTAATCGGAAATTGTTTAAGACCTATTCTGCTAGGTTCAAAAAAGTTATGACGCTAACACAAACATCACGAAATAACTACTTTATCAAGACATCTCAAAATAAATCCAAAGCGGCATGGACTGTAATCAATAACTCTAAGACCAGTTTCCCTAAAGAACCAATAACACAGATTCGAACAGAAACACACGCATTGACGAACTCAATAAATATTGCTCAGGCTTTCAACAAGTTTTATATTAATCAAGTTTCCATACAAAAAAATAAAACTATGCCAGAAATTAAAATCAGCTCAAATACATCAAACTCTCTGTATATGTGGCCAACAACACCCCAAGATATAATTGGCCATATTAAGTCACTCCGAAACACGAATAGCGTTGGTTATGACGGAATATGTACCAAAGTTATCAAAGAAATATCACGATACATAGCTCCACATCTCAGTCATATTATAAATATGAGTATTTCTAACGGAATTTTCCCTGACCAATTAAAAACGTCGGTAATCATACCATTGCATAAAAAGAATGATAGGCAAAATATGTCAAATTATAGGCCTATCGCATTGATACCAGTCTTTTCAAAAATATTTGAGAAAGTCATTTACAAATCATTGTATAGCTACCTTGAGAAGTCAAATATATTAGTTAAGCAACAAAAAGGATTTCGCAAACAAAAGACAATAAACATGGCAATACATGACTTGCTTCTCCCCATTTTATCAAATATGGATAGCAGAAAACCTGTATGCGCTATCTTTACGGATCTAACAAAAGCCTTTGATTATGTAGATTATTCCGTACTCTTATACAAACTAGAAAGATATGGTATCAGAGGTAATGTATTAGAACTCTTTCGGTCTTACTTGACGAATAGAAGACAATTTGTAGAAATCACACAAATATGTTCGAAAACTTGTTGCGAGAATAAATATAAATCCGAAAGCGAGATAATTAAATACGGCGTTCCTCAAGGTAGCGTGCTGGGACCCCTTCTTTTTTTGGTTTATATTAATGACCTTCCGGAACAAATAAATCACCCTATGGTGCTTTTTGCCGATGATAGTACCGTAGTCATTGAGTGTGACAATCCCAATACTTATGGAAATGAAATAAATATGACATTGAATAAAATGATATCATGGTTTGATAAAAATAATCTAAAAATAAACTTAGAAAAAACTAAAATTATGCATTTTTATCAAAGGATCACAAACAATAATCTAAATATTAACTATTTGGGGACAACAATTGAACCGGTAACAACTATTAAATTTCTTGGTATTAATATTGACAACAATTTGACTTGGCGATCCCAGACAGACGAAGTATGTAAAAAATTAAACAAATTTGCTTATGTTCTCTATAAATTATCAAAAATTGTAAACTTAGAATCCGTCCTGGCAGCCTATCACGGTTATGTTGTATCAGTACTCAGATATGGCGTAATATATTGGGGTAATTCAGTAGATAGGGAATTCGTATTTAGAGCACAAAAACGATGTCTCAGAGCGATGTGTGGCCTTAACAGCAAGGAAAGCTGTCAACCGTTTTTTATTCGCCTAAAAATTCTTACCTTGCCATCGTTATACATATACGAAACTAATGTGTTTGTCAAAACTAATCTCTCACTATATAAAATAGCCACTAAAAGCTACTACAGAAAATTACGCGACAAGAATAAGTCAGAACTTGAAGTAACTCATGGAAAAACTGCGTTAATGAATAAGAGTATCCTCAGTATGGCCCAAAAAATATTTAACAAACTACCTGAGACAATAAAGACGTTAAACTTAGACAATTTCAAAAAAGAACTATTGAAAATTTTGATAAATAAGTGCTATTACTCAGTAAAGGCCTATTTGGACGACAATTCTATAATTACTACCTCAGACAATAGCGCACAACCCCATTTGTTTTGATGTTTTGAATTTTGTTTGACATTGGCCTATATGACATGTAACTTTAATCGTTTTTGACATTTTATTGAATTAATTCTATTTTATTTGTAATGATATGTATATGCGTATTAATATCTGTTAATGTTATATTTAACGCTAAATAATATGACACGAAAATTAATCTCTCTAGACAAATTGTTAAATCTTGTTAATATTGACATTACATATGACTTACATATTTGATGATCCTAATTTTATTTGGCATTAGTATTGTATGACATGTTACTTAATCGGTTTCAATTTAATTTACAATTACAAGTGTCAATTAATTTTTGAATGATGACAATGTTAAATAATTTTAATTATATATAATATTTGTACGCCTCTGGGCAAAACATGGAGAATCTGCCTACCTGTAACACCTCACATACCTATGTTTACAAATAAAAATATTCTGATTCTGATTCTGATTCTGATTCTGATTCTGATAACATTAGATAATGGCTTATCACGTAAGTTTTGTCACTGAGGGGATAAGCAGAGATACCTATAGATGGGTATCATTGATATTCCATGAGGTTTTGGGTTTGATTCGCGGGACAAAGTTGATGAACTAAAGATATCTCTCTACTGACGTTAAAACACTGAGAAAAGCTCTACTAGTTTCGAACCACAGAGCTCTTCCTGATGTCATATCTTTATATTTCTTCATTGATTGATTCATTGATTGATTGATTGATTGATTGATTGATTTGAGATCTTATAGATCTCAAATCAATTAAGAAATACGATATTGAGTGTTCGTCCAAATGTTTCTATGGAAGTAATTTATCATCATCATAATTTAGATTTCTCAAAAGTCAGTAACATAAGACATAACAACACGCCTTTTATCCCCGAATAGGTAGGCAGAGATGCACATTATACGACTGTACAATGTAACACCCACTTTTCACTATTTATGTTATGAGTCCCATGTAATAGGGGGTGAGCCTATTGCCATATACCGGGCACATATCCAGACTCCGTGCTACCAATGAGATTTTTTAAAATTGGTAATACGTTTGCCCGACTCGTGGCTTGCACTCGCACTTGCGACCAACGAGGCAGCTGACAAATGTATTCTATTCTACCATCATCATATGATTTGTACTGCTAATAATAATAATTACAATATATTTTTTTTATTCCAGGTCTTAATCGCGAATAACGGTATCGGAGCTGTAAAATGTATGCGTTCAGTACGAAGATGGTCGTACGAGATGTTCAAGAACGAACGCGCCGTACGATTCGTCGTTATGGTGAGTTTTTATTGATATTCATCCAATTTAGTTAATGTTAAAACGGAATGAAAGCTATATGAATACTGAACAATTATAATTCGAAGTGATTTATGATTATGAGTCCTGGTTTCGCTCGAAACTAGTCGAGCATCCTCGATTTGTGTATTGTATTTCTTGTGTGTAATGTATTTCTTGTATATGGGCGTAATAAATGGGTGTAAATGGAAATAAATAGCAGTTATGCGCATGATAATGAGCCAATGATGTACAGGGTTCGCATCCCGCATGGAGCAACTTATTGGGTACTTTCCTTAATCAAAAATAAATTATTTCGACTGTTCAACACAAACACAATAAAATATTAAAAATTATTACACTTTCATAAATTTTTTTTATGATCAATTTTATTTTAGTTTCTTTTTCAGCATATTTTTAAGTAATAACTATGCTGTTTGACGCTAAAAAAACGTGACGTCACAATACACAATCTCGTACAAAATTCATAGAATTTTGTCGTTTTTGACAGTTCGAAAAGAGTATTGAATTTAACTAGTTGATAAGTACCCAATTGTTGTTTCGGGAGAAAATTCTAGTGTGGGATAACGTTTGAAAAATACTCTTTTCTGTCTACATCACTAACTCCTGATCTTCTTCCACAGGTGACCCCCGAGGATCTGAAGGCCAACGCGGAGTATATAAAGATGGCGGACCACTACGTGCCCGTGCCCGGAGGATCCAACAACAATAATTATGCCAACGTCGAACTTATAGTAGATATCGCAATACGGACCCAAGTTCAGGTTAGTAAAATACATTTTATATTACAAAAAAAATATCTTTATTCTATACTAGCTTTTACCCGCGGCTTCGCTAGTGTCACAAAAAAATAAATAGTAGCCTATGTGACATATACCAATACATACAGCGCCATCTATAACAATACTTTTGTTTTTCCTCGGGAATATCAAATTTTTTCGGGATAAAAAGTACCCTATTATTTAATCCAGACTACTAACTTTACGTCTGCAAAAATTCAATGCAATCGGTTTAGAAGTTACGGCGTGAAAGCGGAACAAACAAACAAACAAACTCACTTTCCCATTTATAATAGTAAGGATTTGCCAACAACTGTTAATGCCGAGTGAGTGTTGTTTAATATTCCAAAAAGGCTCCAAAGCCGTATTATCCCTATGGCAAACTAGACAAGTGTCAAGAGCCCCAGGTAACAGACAGGCGCCGCGAGATGAGGTGTCTATCTGCTCATAGAGTGATGGTGGCGCCAAAATAAATTAGGGGCGCCTATGACACGCTTGCCTAGGGGTCTCTCTACGTTTAACCTACCTCTAGACTTGGGTCAAGGTCAATATTGGGGTCCTTTCGGTTTTCCGAAAAGAATACTTGACAAATGTGATCCAAGCATCGCCATTCGCCACAGTTGAATCATAATAATTGTATTAAATGAAAATATACAGTTCTATACAAAAATGCAAAAGGGCGTCAAAATATGTCCGAGAGGTAGTAAATTTCTCTTTAGTTTATTTTTTTTATATTCCAATAGAAATACGGTATTTGCTTAAATGAAACCCATATCGCGCAAAGCAAGCAAGCCAAGAATATTAAAAAAAATCTTGTTTTTTATTTATTTTTAGCACTTTATGTACAATCGTTACATTATTATTTTGTGGTATTCTTCGACCTTTTGTTTTCGAAACTATGTATATTTGACCCCATTTTGCCCCTTTCAGGCTGTATGGGCAGGTTGGGGTCATGCCTCAGAGAACCCCAAGCTCCCCGAACTGCTCCACCGCGCTGGGGTCGTGTTCATTGGGCCCCCGGAGAAGGCCATGTGGGCTCTCGGAGACAAGATCGCCTCCTCCATAGTAGCGCAAACTGCTGAAATACCCACTCTACCCTGGAGTGGTAGCGGTGAGTTTATTTTCTGATTATTTTGCTCGAGAATTTTTCTATAGAATATAATCAGGTGTAATTTATTGAAAATATATATCACAATTATACTTTAGAAAATATATAGTACGAGAGATGACGACCAAAACCATGTCTCATAGCAATACGGCAAAAACCCTATAAAATCGTTAGATTGTATGATTCTGAACCCGACTAGGTGTGTAGTAACAGTCGAAAGTGTAGCAACTGGGTGGGAGGCCATTTCTGCTGTGTCAAAAATATCTGAGTATCGAAAAGTTGTCTGATAGAGAAGGTGCTACACTTATTTTGTCTGATATAAATTTTTTGCCCATGTGGACAACTTATTTTATCACTAGCTTTTACCCGCGGCTTCGTTCGCGTCACAAAAGAATAAAAAGTAGCCTATGTGACACATACCAATACACACAGCGCCATCTATACCAATACTTTTGTTTTTCCTCGGGAATATCAATTTTTTCCGCGTTAAAAGGAACCCTATTATTTAATCCGGACTTCTAACTTTACGTCTGCAAAAATTCAAAGCAATCGGTTGTGTAGTTACGGCGTGAAGGTGGAACAAACAAACAAACAAACAAACTCACTTTCAGATTTATAATATTAGTAAGGATGTCCAACAATTTTCAGACATATTGCCATGATACCGATCGGTAAAATTTTGGTCGTCATCTCTCGTACTAATATCTAGTCCTAGAGTTGCGGACATCCAAAAGGGGTTTTTTAAAGGGTGAAAATCTTCGAATGACTTCTTCCGACCGGGTGAGGCGGGAGGGAGTGTCAAAATCTTACTAACTAAAAACCACCCCGTTCCTACTCCTGCACTTCGAGCCGGAGTTCTGGTACGTTCGGGTCTAGTTCTGGTCGGGTGGCGAGTCACTTGTGCTCGCCGTTCGCAGGACTAACCTAACGGGTTGCCGTGGCTCCGGCTGGATGCAGAAGAAGGAACGGGGTTGTGTACTAGTAAAGCCTATAGTGGTCCAGGTGTTAATGAGCGGCGATTGCTTGTCATCAGGTGATCAGAGTGCCAAGCACGAATAACTATCGCATTCGTAACGTAATAGTATCGTGTGCGTTCGGCGTTCTGATTGGCCGGCTCAAGTGAACCAACCAATCAGAACGCTTAACTCGCTCGATACTGTTACGATACGAATGCGATAGTTATTCGTGCTTGGCCCTCTGTCCGCTCATTTACCGGCTTAACTCATAAAGAAAAATATTCTTGTGTTCCACAGAGCTAAAGGCTGAATACAACAGTAAGAAAATCAAGATATCTTCTGAACTCTTCGCCAGAGGATGTGTGACCACTCCGGAAGAAGGATTGCAAGCTGCACAGAAGATCGGTAAGTTTTTTTTAATAATTATGTACTAAATTGTAAACAAAGCAAATAAAGATAAACTAATCAAGGATAAATGGTGAAGGAAAACACATCTTTCTTTTCATAGTCCATATTTTTTCATGAAATATCATAATGTCTCTTCCAGGGTTCCCCGTGATGATCAAGGCCTCGGAAGGTGGTGGTGGCAAGGGTATCAGGAAGGTGGAGAATCCTGATGACTTCAACAGCGCTTTTAGACAGGTATTGTACCTAATTTCCTATTAAACTGTCAAACACCGAGCGGTCACCGGTGACCGCCACCTATTGTTCTTTAATTGTGTCTATAAATACGGTACTCAACGAGTTAAATTGCAAAATATAGATTTAGTGCCCATCAGTTGTGGCTAGTGTGCCGTAAGGTATTGTTGAACCTGATTGATTCCGAAATTTAAACTTCCAATGCCGGTTTTTTATAAAAATGAGTTTTTTATGAATTTTGTTGCAAAAGCGTGTTATTTTTCAATTTTGTTATCGATTTTTCTGCCCGTTACTGCTACTACAACTGCTAAACATACTTACAAAAATTAATAATTTTAATTAATAATCGTGTAGCGGGTTCGATTCCCACACGGAACAACACTTTGTGTGAGCCACAATTTGTAGTTCCGTGTCTGTGTGTGTATGTGAACTTGTATGTTTGTAAACGTACCCACGACTCAGGAGAAAATCCTAATATAGGCCAACGTTTAATAAAAAAAATGCTGATTGTTTAAAAAATGAGGTGATTTTACTAAATTTTTTTTATGAATTTTGTTACAAAAACTTGTTGTTTTTCAATTTTGTTGTCGATTTTTCTGCCAGGTAATGGCATTAGGCGCGTCCCCTATTACGGTGTAACTGCTAAATATACCTTACAAAAATTAATAATTTATTTATTTATTTATTCTTTTATGTACAAAATTTTACTATGGCACATAAGGCGAACTTATGCCATATGGCATTCTCTACCAGTCAACCTTAGGGTTTAAGTAGAAAATCAGCGAAGAATAAGGTACGGAGAATAAACTAACAGAAAAGAGAGAGAGAGAGAGAGAGAGAGAGAGAAAAAGGTAAATATTATTAATCGTGTAGCGGGTTCGATTCCCACACGGAGTAACTCTTTGTGTGATCCACAGATTGTTGGTCTGTGTCTGAGTGTCATGTGTATGTGAACTTGTATGTTTGTAAACGTACACATGACACGGGAGGAAAACCTAGTGTGGGGCAATAATAAAAAAAAATTTTTTTTTTCGACCCCTTAGATAATATTTAAACCTTTTCCGTGTGAGGAGAAGCTTTGCTCAGCAGTGGGCATTTATAGGCTGTTGATGAGATAATATTTATACCCTACTATTATGATTACAGGTACAAGCAGAAGTGCCCGGTTCCCCAATATTCGTGATGAAGCTCGCAAAGTCAGCTCGCCATTTGGAAGTACAACTGTTGGCTGATCAGTACGGTGAGTTTTTTTTCTATAGAATAGGAAGTAAACGAGCAGACGGATCACCTGATGGTAAGCGATCAGCGCCGCCCATGAACACAACACCAGAGGGGTCACAGGTGCGTTGCCGACCTTTCAAAAGGAATACGCTCTTTTCTTGAAGGTTTGAAGGTCGTATCGGCGCGGGTATACGGCGAGTTTTGTATCTCCCGCAAGATTTCACCCAATGCTCGGCTCCTTTTGGTCGTAGCGTGATGTTTTATAGCCTATAGCCTTCCTCGATAAATGGACTATACAACACTAATATAATTATTCAAATTGAACCAGTCGTTCCGATTAGCGCGACAGAGATTAGCGCGTTAAAACTTTTTAGCTTTATATATTAGTACTAGCTACTTTCGCGCGGTTTCAGACGCTCTGCGCAACTCCTATTGGTCGTAGCATGATGTTTTATAGCCTATAGCCTTCCTCGATAAATGGACTATCCAACACAAAAAGAATTGTTCAAATCAGACTTGTAGTCACGGAGATTAGCGCGTTCAAACAAACAAACTCTTCAGCTTTATATATTAACTAGCTACTTCCCTGCGGTTTCACACGATCTGCTCACCTCCTTTTGGTCGTAGCGTGATATAAAACATCATATTGCCTTATCCTGTATAAAATTAATGTTAAAAGTGTTGTGTATATCATGTCAATAATCAACATAAAATCACGCCTTTTATCCCCGAAGGGGTAGGCAAAGGTGTACATTATGCCACAGTACAATGTAACACCCACTCTTCACTATTTATGTTATGAGTCCCATGTAATAGGGGGTGAGTCTATTGCCATATACCGGGCACAATTCCAGACTCCGTGCTACTACTGTGAATTTTTTGAAAAACCCAGTAATACTTTGCCCGACCCGGGAATCGAACCCGAGACCGACCCGGCAGTCGCGCTTGCGACCACTCAGCCAATGAGGCAGTAAAAAAAAAACAGATCATTAATCAAATTATATGTCATTCGGTTCGCAGGCAACGCGATCTCGCTCTTTGGTCGTGATTGTTCCATCCAGCGTCGTCATCAGAAGATTATTGAGGAAGCTCCCGCCGCCATCGCCAAACCTGACGTCTTTATTGAGATGGAGAAGGTACGGTATTGTTAAGAATATTGTCAACTAGCTTTTACCCGCGGCTTCGCTCGCGTTACAAAAGGATAAAAAGTAGCCTATGTGACATATACCAATACACACAGCGCCATCTATACCAATATTTTTGTTTTCCCTCGGGAATATCAAATTTTTCCGGGATAAAAAGTACCCTATTATTTAATCCGGACTTCTAACTTTACGTCTGCAAAAATTCAAAGCAATCGGTTTAGTAGTTACGGCGTGAAAGCGGAACAAACAAACAAACAAACTCACTTTCCAATTTATAATATTAGTAAGGATGTCAAGTGTGGGTTCGCCATACAGCCTGAAGTGATACCACCAATGAGCAGCAAACTAAGTGTCAAGCACTAATAACTATCGTATTCGTAACGTAAGAGTATCGAGCGTGATCTCCGCTGAAACCGGCCAATCAGAGCCGACGTGACGTGACCTGAGTATTGCTTGGTATACTGGAGCCGGCCAATCAATATAATAGATAGTATATTTATAAACAATCCTACCTTACTACTGAAAAATTATGTTAAATATTTTGTTTAAAGTATACATAACTTGTCTTATCATTAACATAATTTTAGAGCTCCTGTTGCCTGTGACACAGGAATATTCCTAGTATAGGCATATTAGTTTTTAAGATCTTGTCGCTTAACTAAGATATTTTTTGCCATTGTTGGTCATTGTTATTATGAATAAAGATTTATTTATTTATTTATTTAATCTGACTGCCTGGTTGGTGTCGTGGCTGGGCAACCGGCTGCCGTGCAACGCGTCGCGGTTTCGATTCCCGCACGAAACAACACTTTGTGTGATCCACAAATTGTTGTTTCGGGTCTGGGTGTGTGTGTGTATGTGAAATTGTATGTCTGTAAACGCACCCACGACATATGAGAAAATCCTAGGGTGGGGCAATGTTTTATTTAAAAAAAAAATCAGCGCCGAACGCACTCGATACTATTACGTTACGATTGCGATAGTTATTCGTGCTTGGTACTCTGAAGTGAACGCTTGCGTTGTGTTTCGCCGTGTGAGTGAGGTTACCGGAGGCCCAATTACCCCCCTCCCTTCTCAATCTCCCCAATCCCTGAATCTCCAACAACCCTCAAATTCCTAATCTCCAAAAGGCCGGTAAAGCACTTGTAACGCCTCTGGTGTTCCGGTGTCCATGGACGACGCCGATTGCTTACCATCAAGTGATCCGTCGGCTCGTTTACCGACTACGACTGCTATTTTTTAAGGGATACTTTAAATATAACGGTCTTATGTTTAAGGTCATAAGGTTTAGAATCCGGTAACATTGTATCAGGTCATATTTAGAATTAGTATCATCGTTAGCTCAACCTAATGATCTATTTATTGAGATGGAGAAGCATACCTTCTTGACATTGGACTTTAACTGTATCGATATAGGGTTGAATATCACTTGAACATTAAATTGCTGTATGGTCTATTTCATTTATTTGTGAAGTTTTTAAAAGACTCAAAAAAAAACTAACACATCCCTTAATTTTCCAGGCCGCGGTCCGTCTAGCCAAGATGGTAGGCTACGTATCAGCTGGTACAGTAGAATATCTATACGAACCAGCTACAGGCGCTTACTACTTCCTGGAACTGAACCCGCGACTCCAAGTGGAACATCCTTGCACGGAGATGGTGGCTGACGTCAATTTACCCGCTGCCCAACTTCAGGTATTTATAAAAGACTGAAAAGACCAAGTAGACTGCAGTTGTCTTTTGAATAGACAACATGTATATTTTGTAGTAGACGAAAATTCGTATTCGTATGATATATTTTAAGTTCAGATATGTTAAAAAGACTGAAAAAATCAAGTAGACCATGGTGGTCTTTTGGTCTTTTCGTTAGATTTGAGTGAGAATTGATTCGACTGAAAATATCTTTGGTAGTAGACGAAAATCCTGAGTGATAGACGTAGATCCAACAGGAATAAGTAGCGCCTAATTACTCGAATTTTATATATGTATATTGTCCTCTGTGCTGTTTGTGTGTACATGTAAATACAATGTACAATAAAAATAGTACTGAAATGAGTATATTTTAATTTAAGGTTAAAAAGACCAACTAGACCGAGGTGGTCTTTTGGTCTATTCAGTAGATTTTGATAGGGATTTGATTGGACTGATAATATATTGGTAAAAGATAAAAATTAGTCGTAGAAGAATATATTTCAGTATCAAGCATTTTGAAAAGATCAAGTAGACCAAGTTGTCTTGTCAGTAGACTCAGGTTGATGATTAGAAAAATTCATTAGACTGAATATATCTTTGGAAATTATTTTCTGTATCCAATTTTAAAGCCTGAAAAAGTAGTATATTTTTTTTTAAATTCTTAACACGGTCATTAATTCTAGGCTTTTAGGAACAAACATAACATTTCAATACTTAACAGTGGCAGGGTAAGCAGAAACATTACATTTTGTTCATTCCAGATCGCCATGGGTCTTCCTCTATACCACATAAAGGACATCCGCCTCCTATACGGCGAGTCCCCATGGGGTCTGTCGCAGATAGAGTTCGACGAGCCGAAGCAGAGACCTTCACCATGGGGTCATGTCATCGCCGCTAGGATCACGTCCGAAAACCCTGATGAAGGTAATATTTCCTTTTCTTTTGTTCAAAATTATAACACCCAAGCCTAGTAAAGTATATTTCATTTTTTCACCACCGCTTCTCTTCACTCGGGTGTACAGCACCCGCACTGACTTAGTCAAGGTCAATAGAATTCCATCGCAAAGTCATAGATGCTAGAGTCACTTTAGAAAACCTTGATGAAGCTAAGATGTTTTCGAGTTTAGTACCATTTTCGTATCTATGGTGATGCATAAGAAGAATAAAGGTTTGCTACCATTACTCTTGTCTTGCCTCGGGTGTATGATACCCAATTCGTCACGTCATATGACGAATTAATAAAAACAATAGGTGGACTGTTGTCGGTCGTTATATTGGCGACTGTTGTCATTGTTTCTAAGCAAGATGTTAGCATTTAGTTTTGTCATTTGTAAGCCGCCAATGGTATGCTATTGTATTTATCTCAACAGATGGCGCCAGTGTGCCTCTCACCTCTCGGTTTACGTCCAATAGGGAATTAGCTAATGTCACACCGTTGGACGTACAATATTTGACAAAAAACCTCTTGCCTCTCTTGCTACAACATAACTACGGTAGCCCCATTGTTTAGTCGCGGAGAACCTAACGGGTTACCGGGACTCCGGCTCGACGTGCAGGAGAAGGAACGGGGTGGTTTTTAGTCAGTAAGAGTCTGACACTCCCTCCCGCCTCACCCCGGCGGGAGGAGGCATTCGATGATTTTCCCCCCTTAAAAAAAAAGCCCCATTGTTTACGAAGGATGGATACATTGGTCAAATGACACGACCCTTGTAATAATGTTAAAGCTTCTCCACTTGAAAACGAAAACACTTAAAATAACCTATATTTTTTCTCCAAACAGGATTCAAGCCCTCATCAGGTACGGTCCAGGAGTTAAACTTCAGGTCTTCGAAGAATGTATGGGGATACTTCAGCGTGGCCGCTTCAGGAGGTCTGCACGAGTTCGCAGACTCACAGTTTGGACACTGCTTCTCTTGGGGCGAGACTAGGGAGCAGGCTAGAGAGTGAGTTATTTATTTATTTATTTATTTTTAACAGTCACAACGGCATAAAAATCCAATAACAGTAACTGATACAACAATAAAACACAAACAAAAGAAAAGTAAAACTTAGTTAAAACAAGGGTTAAACACCATTCATGAGTTTCTCTCGCAGTACTTCAAGCATTCTGATAAAATCTCCTTCCATCCGTCCGCAAACAGATCACTAGTTGGATTGGAATCCAAGAGATCATTGAGCGCGGCCAGAGTGCGAGGAACAGGTGAATTAGCGCGTGCGACGGTACGACATGAGGGTACGGCAAATAGCCTGTGCTTTTTACACCGGCAATAGTTATCTGGGACGTAAAAGCGCGATAATGACTCCAGTAGATCTGGAGCGTCAATAGTGCCCCGGCAATAGTTATATTCTTATACTAGCTTCTGCCAACAGCTTTGCCCGCGTTCCGTGGGATAAAAAGTCTAGACTACGTGGTGTTCCAAACGATACCTTTGTTCCAAATTTTATCCCGATCCGTTCAACCGTATTGATGTGAATAAATTATTATGTTTTCGGCTTACTCACGTAATAATTTGACGAGGAACTTGACTAGTTTTAAGCCATGCTAGAGGCTCGTATTCATGAGCAGCATTTCGCGACCTGCGACGCGGCGACTGTCGCGCTACTACGAAAGTTACAATACAAATATACGTATTGATGTGATTAAGTAACAAACATAAGAAATAAATAAAAGAAGAAAGAAAAACCATTTATTCTTGAACACACATAACATAACTAAAATTGAAAATCAGTGCTGGGTGACTTGTATGCCTGGCTTACACTGAGTGGGTGACCCTTTTAGCATAGGCATGTTGTCGGCGTCTCTCTTCTAATTCTTCTGTTTTAATTTTTCAACTCAATGTTTTTATTACTTCCAATGTCAGTACAACCTTTATTGTGTTTTTTATATTTTATTTATGCTGCATCGTGCCTGGTGCTGAATATTTTTTTTTCAACAAAAAAAATATTCAACGCAAGCGTTATTTCACGTAGGTTTTCTGCTCGTTGGGGGTATCACTCCGGTTGAGCCGACCCAGCAGTGCCGAAGCATGGCGAGCCTACACTTAACAATTCGCTATCAGCTTCGGAGCAAATTCTTTATTAGACACATACGCCCAATTAGGGTTCTATTTGTATAGAGACATAGGACCCTGAAAACTAAATAAAAAATTAATTGATTAATGAATAATTAAAAATCCCTTTCACAGGAACCTAGTAATAGCTCTAAAAGAGTTAAGCATTCGTGGTGACTTCCGTACGACGGTGGAATACCTGATCACACTCCTGGAGACTGGCGCCTTCCAGAACAATGACATCGATACTGCCTGGTTGGACGCGCTCATTGCTGAAAGGGTAAGTAGACTAGTAGACCAGTAGACTAAAAGACTGAGTATACCATAATACCTATTATAAAAGACTAACTATTTATTAGGTGTCACTTGATAATTTGGTGAAAACCAAAATGTCGTTAATGCCGGAATACTGAAACGTTACTCAATTTTAAGTCGTACTTAAATATCATGCCATCTCTGTCATTTTACAAAAAATTTGTGGAGACAAAACTATACTTAAGCGCGACTTAAAATTGAGTAGCGTTTGAGTATTCCGACATAAGTCCTTCAAGTTTAAGGTTTGCTGAAAATGACATGAGTAGACCAAAAAGCCAAGTAGACGAAATAAACTGAGTAGACCTAGGGCATAACTTACACGTGGGGGTAAGTAGATGACTACATTTAAACTGACATGAGTAGACCAAAAGACCAAGTAGACGAAATAAACTGAGTAGACCTAGGGCATGACTTATACTTGGGGGTGAGTAGATGACTACATTTAAATGTACCTATAAAGAACTTTGCTAATATGAATGACTAGCTTTTACCCGCGGCTTCGCTCGCGTCACAAAAGAATAAAAAGTAGCCTATGTGATATATACCAATACGCACAGCGCCATCTATACCAATACATACAGCGCCATCTATACCAATACTTTTGTTTTTCCTCGGGAATATCAATTTTTCCGGGTTAAAAAGTACCCTATTATTTAATCCGGACTTCTAACTTTACGTCTGCAAAAATTCAAAGCAATCGGTTGAGTAGTTACGGCGTGAAGGTGGAACAAACAAACAAACTCACTTTCAGATTTATAATATTAGTAAGGATTATATGACTTACAAACTTTATAAGTTAATTTACTCCACATTACTCTTAACCCTGGATCCTCTCCATCATCAGATGCAATCAGAGAAGCCTGATATAATGCTGGGCGTCATCTGCGGCTCCATCCTCATAGCAGACGCATATATCACTGCCAACTTCCAGGAGTTCAAGAGTGCGTTAGAGAAGTGAGTACATGGTTTTAATCCGTTGAAATTCATCCCCTAAATTTGTTCATACAAAAGTAGTCTCTAAATATTGGAAATAAGGTCTATAATGTAGGTAGTGGAGAGCAGTCACCGGTGACCGCTTGGGGATCTATGGGTTAATCCCGTGTTGCGTATAGATTTTTGTATTTTCTAGTTGCAGTTTATCGTTTTTGGAAGATTTTGCTTAATCATGAGTTCGATTCCTGGTTTATGTATTGTGTGTTGAATCTAGATACCTTCATTTATTGAGTAGGTTTAAATCAGTTTTGAATTTTACAAGCTCAAGTTACCCTCTTCTCAAATCAAGGCGTGTTTTTTATGCCTCGAGACAAAATAAACGATGTCAAAATAAAGTTTTTTGTTTCATCCCTTCTTTGCGTAAGAAATACGAACTTTCGTTTATTTATTACGTTAAGGGTAAATTTTACAATCATCAGTTATTTTTAACTGTAGAATAAAATTGGCATTTGGCAGTGTTTAGTATTGAAGAATTGTCAAATATTCAAAGTTATTCCTCAGTTACAATTTATCTGGCGTTGGAAAAATCGGACCTATGCTAACACTAAACTTTCACCACCAGGGGTCAAATCCAGGGTTCCAGTGCCCTCTCCAATTGCGTGGAGGTCGAACTCATCCACTCTGGCTCCAAATATAAGGTGTCTGCCACCAAGTCTGGTCCGACATCTTACTTCCTTGCGATGAACGGCAGCTTCAAGGAGATGGAAGTCCATAAACTTACTGATGGCGGTGAGTAGACCGGAGTAGACCGAAAAGACCATGTTGATTTTTTTGATTAAACATGTTATTTAGCAGTGGCGTGCACAGATTTTAGAGACAGGGTAGGCAACTAAATATCGTATGATTAAAGCTCTCCCTCCGGTCATACAATCATACTCCCACAAGACAGGTACATGTACAGAATACATTTTGAAAAGTGCGTTCAAGAATATTGTGGTTTATTCTTTTGCCAAATTACATATACTGACATCTAGCGTATTTTTTGTAAAGTACTTCATCAGCTATCGAATAAGCCAACAAAACTTACAAATAATGAAACATCTATTTATTATACTAATAATGAAGCATAAATTTGATGAACCAAATTCAATTATGAAATTGCTAAATAATCTATTCAAAATCATAATTACGAATTTAAGAACGTAGGTACCTACCAACAAACAAAACAACAACAAGCGCGGCCGGCTGTGGCCGAGCCCAGTATAAGCGGTACATTTGTTATTCAATCATCATCAACAGCCTATAAATGCCCACTGCTGAGCAAAGCCTCTTCTCACACGGAGAAGGTTAGAGCATTAATCACCACGCTTGCTCAATGCGGGTTGGCGATTTCAAACTTATAATTAGAAATTATAAGTCCAGGTTTCCTCACGATGTTTTTCCTTCACCGTTTGTCAGTGGTGTCTAAATAATCTTAGAAAGTACATATAGCTCGGAAAAAGTCACATTGGTACTTGCCGTTGGTAGGTTACGAACCCGCACCCTCATGCATGAGAAGTGGGCGTCTTAAACCTCCGGGCCACCACGACATATTTACACCACATTTGTTATTACATTACATAATTATTAATAATAAATTAATATGTAAATCAAAACAACCCGAGGTATAAGTTGATATTTTTAAGAATTATCAAACATACATAAACAAGAACATCAATTATAAAAGATCCATTATAGTACCTACATATTTACATTACCTACCTTTGACTTGGGTCAATTCTCGTAACTTGAGTACTGCCTATGGTCATTACCTGAATCTAGTCGTTATAGGACACATTTTTGCGAAAACTTACTGTTTTTAACTTTAAACAAACACAAAAAATTACCTATTATCAACACAAACTTCACAATCGAATAATATACTAGACACTGATAAACAAATACACTATTTGAAAAACCGACACATATATTTTACTACTTCTACACATATTTATGCAACTTTATGTTTAAAACTAATTCCTTATAATTTAAACGAAAACATAAACAAAGCGATCGCACATCACATGAAAACAATATGGCCGAAAACATTGGTAAGTCATTACCCATCGTAGTCAATTGAGTGTTTATTATAAAAAAAATATCGCTAAAACATTAAGGCAACCCAGTGTTTAATTATAAAAAAACAAAACGTTAATTTACATAAGTCAAATGGAATTGCAGCATTGTCTTATTATTATTTTCCAATAAGAAACATTCGTTGATAATAATTTGAAACTTTGAGTAGCGGCAACTTGACGTTTCGATAACTTCCTTTTAACTTAAAATAATAAAGCCAACTCCTCGTTTAAAGTTTCTATAAAGCGACAACGAGTAAAAATGTTAAGATTTAATTAAAACACCTGAAACATATTTTTTTAGGATGCATAATTATAAAAAGACATTCGCATTATATCAAACGCGTTCAGAAGTTTTAACAAAAAATTCAATAGATGGCGCAGATTCACAAACAAAAAGTCCGGCTAGATTGAATCGTGTAATAATTTTTTGCGTTTATGAATGGTTATTCTGTGCTGTGACCATAGTCACGTGACCTTCACGCATGCGCGTTGCATACTTTTTGTGACGTCACAACCAACAACCAAGATTTAAGGAATAGCAGCGCATGCGTAGTGCGTGCGGCGCGCATTCATTGCTTTACAAAGGCGTGCGGTCCGTGTATAGTATATGTGAATGTATATTTATGTTAGCCGTTTTTTTACAAACTTTTATTATATTATTGAATCTTAATAAACGCGTTAGTACATTTTATGTCAAGCAAAGCCTATTTGCCTATATGGACTGCACGCCACTGTTATTTAGTTGGTAAGAGTAGACTAGTAGGCCTGAAAAGACCGCGAAGACCATATTTATTTTAATGGTGTTTTTATTGGGAAAAGTGTTTTATGGGGATAATAAATGTGGTCTTTCGGTCTATTTTGACGAAAATAAGAATGTAAGTCGTATATAAGGGCATTGTTCTATTATCCCATATTTTGCGATTTTGTTATAATTTTTACTCGCGCTTAGCCTTAATCGGACAGCATTAGCCTTTTTTGAATAAAATTTTAGACTACAAAATATAGCAGTGTTAAAAAAACGATTTTTTTTCTAGGTATGCTTCTCTCAATCGACGGTGCCTCCTTCACGACCTACCTTCGTGATGAAGTGGACAAATACAGGATCGTGATCGGCAATCAGACCGTGGTATTTGACAAGGAAAAGGATCCGTCCAAGCTGAGGGCGCCATCTGCCGGCAAACTGATCAATACGCTGGTGGAAGATGGAGGACATGTCGATAAGGGACAACCTTATGCTGAAATTGAGGTTTGTTCGACAATATTTTTTTTTTACTTGCTAGCTTATGTCTGCCAGCGGATACGCCCGCGTTTCAGTGGGAGAAGTAGTCTTTGGTATTACAGACAATAATTTACCCCTGTTCCTATTTGGGAATGAATTGTAAAAGACACTGTTTTGATACTGTCACCAGGTAATGAAAATGGTGATGACCCTGGCTGCTCCGGAGTCAGGTAAAGTGACCTGGATCTTACGGTCAGGGGCTGTTCTGGATATGGGAGCTATGATTGGAACACTGGGTGAGTTATATTATTTATTTATTACCTACTTACCGTAAAATGGGGTGGATAGGGATCGAGAGGTGAATAGAGACAGAAGAGGGGTGAATTAGATATTGGGAAATTTTTCATAGTATCGATTGGGATGATGACAGGGTATGAAAATTAAAAATCTAAGTAGTCCGTAAGTTAAGTAATTAAAAAATATTAGACACGTATTTTTTTATATTGTCGTATAATAAAACAATACTTAGATAAAACGGATCAAAGTTTAGGAGTGGTGGTACCTCTACGTTATTTTAGAGTATTAATCGTACTCAAAAGTGACGTCGTACGATATTTGAAATCAATGTATCGTCGAAACTATTCGTTTCCATAAGAAAATAAAAATACGTGTCTAATGTTTTTAGATAATCTACCAGACGGACATTGAAATAAAATTTAGTCTTCAGTCATCACACAAGGGTATTCTATCATTTAGTGGAACTCATAGCTAGCAAAAAGTGAAAATTGCATAAATTCTTCTTTATTCTATGTGTAATGAGAGGTGTAAACCTATTTTATACCTATTGTATCTTCTAGTTTTATAATTTAGCTTTTATCTTTTATTCTCACTCTCTTGTGTTACACTCTTATATTGTTATTTTATTAAATTGTATTGTATTGCTACTTTTTGTTCCTTGCATTCATGCCGTATGCCGAATAAACTCTTTTCATTTCATTTCATAATGTTATAACTATGTTTCTCCCCCCTCCTAGAACTGGACGACCCCTCCCTAGTGACGACAGCGACCCCCTACAAGGGGCAGTTTCCCATCGAAGACAACAACCAACTGTCGGAGAAACTCAACCACGCACACAATAAATATAAGGCAGTACTGGAAAATACATTACAAGGTGAGTTCTTTAATATATTAAAAAAAAACGTTCTCCCACATTAGGATTATCTCCTGTGTCGTGTGTCCGTTTACAAACATACAAGTTCACATACAAATGACACCCAGACAGGTAACAACAATTTGTGGTTCACACAAAGTGTTGTTCCATACGGGAATCGAACCTATATTTATAAACATGGCCGAATTCGACTGCACGGTTGGTGCGGTGGCTGGGCAACCGGCTGCCGTGCAACGTATCGCGGGTTCGATTCCCGCACGGAACAACTCTGTGTAGTCCACAGATTGTCCTGTGTCGTGTGTACGTTTACAAGTTCACATACACATCACACACAGACACGGAACAACAATCTGTGGATCACGCAAAGAGTTGCTTCGTGCGGGAATCGAAACCGCGACACGTTACGCGGTAGCCGGTTGCTCAACCGTGTTGTCAAGACAAATTTGTCAAGATTGAATAACAAACACACAATCGTTCTTATTTATAACTAGCTTTTACCCGCGGCTTCGCTCGCGTCACAAAAGAATAAAAAGTAGCTTATGTAACATATACCAATACACACAGCGCCATCTATACCAATACATTTGGTTTTCCTCGGAAATATCATTTTTCCCGGGTTAAAAAGTACCCTATTATTTAATCCGGACTTCTAACTTGACGTCTGCAAAAATTCAAAGTAATCGGTTGAGTAGTTACGGCGTGAAGGTGGAACAAACAAACAAACAAACTCACTTTCAGATTTATAATATTAGTAAGGATGTTAATCTTTAACACTAAAATACCCCTGGTATCCTCAGGCTACTGTCTCCCGGAGCCCTACAACACTCCTCGGCTCCGTGAAGTCGTTGAGAAGTTCATGCAGAGCCTGCGAGACCCTTCACTGCCACTACTGGAGTTGCAGGAGGTAAGTAATCGATGAAATTATACTAAACTAGCGGACCCAACGACGGACGGACGGACGGACGTTGTCCTGCATATCCACTTGAATGTATAAACAAAAATTCATTCAAATTAGTTCAGCTGTTTAGGATAAATAACCTAAACATCGACTGCAGCGCCATCTGCCGGGCTGATTTGTGAATCTAAACCGTTCCCGGATCCCCTTGAGCACACACAAAAAATTTCATCAAAATCGGTCCAGTCGTTTGAGAGAAGTTCAGTGACATACACACTCACAGAAGAATTATAAATATAAAGATAGCCATTGCGGGATCCAAGACCTGTCAACTCATGTCCCTGGGACGCGCCGGACTTCAGTGTTCCGGTGTTTGCATGGTTGTATCTACTGTAGATCCTGGAGTCAAAGTCAAAGCACTTATTTCAATTAAACCATAATTTGGTACTTTTGAAACGTCAACAAATACAAAATGAATAATAGTCTGTCAGTCAGTCCGTCACTGAAGCTAAGAGCTCATTCCAAAATGTAGATTCGAATGGAGAAGAATGAGCAAGAAACTCCATTCGTTACTCTTTCTCTATCAAAGCGGTTTTCATTATTAAAATTAAAAAAGTAAAGTCATTATTAAAATAATCATAATTGTTAATAATAATAACTTTTTGGCCACTGCTGGACATAGGTGGCTCCGATATTCTGCCACTGCTCGATCTTCAATCCTTGTCGACCACACAGCGGATAATAAACTAAAATTACGAAATCGCAATGAAAAAATGACGGGCAGAATGTACACAAAGCACCGCTAATTAGTTTGCAGCGCTACACATCGACACTACTGTCATTTACACAGTGTACATGTGTGGGTAATTTCATATTACTGTGTATAAAAATATTCGTCCACCACGTTCACATTGGTATTTTCATTCTTGTGTCGGTATACGTATTTTTATAATTTAATGCATAGGTAAGGTTAAAACTATTTACAATCATTGATATGACCCGACATTTTCACTGTCATTATCGTAGTGCTCGTGGTCGATTGGTTAATGAGCATGCTTTTATTGTCTTTCAAGGATCAATGATGTGGGTTCTATTCCAGCTAAAAGTTTATTTTATATTACCTTGTTATTTTTTTTAATTTTTTTTTTGTTTTTTGTCATAAAATATAAATATCAGGCTATAAAAGAAGCAAATGAGTCGGTAAATAAAACAATACTATTTTTTATTACAATTAATTTATTTATTATACAAATGTGTTGTTTTATATTCCATATTTATATTTAATAATTAATTATATACCACATGTTAAGTTTAAAGTTCTTTAAATCACTATTTTATTTATTTAATTAATTTAAATTACATTACAAAATACAAATAAAAGATATTATAGGTATAAATAAATCTAAAGTATTTACTATTAAAATTAACATAAGATTTAGAACAATAGGATAGGAAAAAAAAAGAAAAGATTTAAAATTGTTTCTAACTTCAATTTCAAATTTCAAATATTTGATAAATTAATACTAAAACAACATGTGAATATGCTGGAATCGATCCGGCGGCACTTTACTTGACAATTGGAGGCGATAACCATTGCGCCAAGCGCGCTGTAGATGAGATTATCGAAATATTGTATATCATTCAGTAACATAAAATTACAATGAGAAAGCACTATAGTTATATGGGTATTGGATAGCTCGATTGTTCATTATTTTTGATTTCGATTTATTCAAAGTTTGTTATGAGTAATTTTATCTTTACCCTCGTTTTTATTTAAACTTATTGACTAAATTATTACGTATACCGACACAAAAATGATAGTTAAATACCAAGATGTGTGTGATAGACGAATGTTTCTATACATATCTATTGCTATGAAATTACCCACACATGTATATTGTGTAAATGATAGTTGTGTCGATGTGTAGCACCACGAACTAATTAGCGGTGCTTTGTGTACACAATGAGTTGCTTCCGTGCGGGAATCGAACCCGCTACACGTTGTGCGGCAGCCGGGCTCAGCCCCTGTGCCAAACGTGCAGTCAATAGACATTATATAATGTCTACACCTACCATATTACTATAATCACTTAACAACCCCTGTTAATCCCCAGGTACTATCGTCCACGTCTGGCCGCATCCCCATAGCTGTCGAGAAGAAGGTCCGCAAGTTGATGGCTCTGTACGAGAGGAACATCACCAGTGTCCTCGCACAGTTCCCCAGCCAACAGATCGCCAGCGTTATCGACCAGTGAGTTGATTTAGACCTTATTTATAGTTGACAAGCTTTTACCCGGGGCTTCGCTCGCGTCACAAAAGGATAAAAAGTTGAACCTTCAGTTAAAAAATCACGTTAATTAGTACCTCCGTTCTGCCGTTTAAGACAGGCAAACAAACAAATAGCTTTCCGCTCGCGTGGAATTCGGTTATATCGCGCTATTTAGATATTTCCAATAAGTAGGTAATTCGTTTATTGGTTTTAAACGACATACAGCGCCATCTATACCAATACACACAGCGCCATCCATACCAATATTTTTGTTTTCCCTAGGAAATATCTAATTTTTCCGGGATAAAAAGTACCCTATTATTTAATCCGGACTTCTAACTTTATGTCTGCAAAATTTCAAAGCAATCAGTTTAGTAGTTAGGGCGTGAAAGTGGAACAAACAAACAAACTCACTTTCCGATAATATAAGTAAGGATTAATGTTACGTTTCCAGTGCTCCATTACAGTAATTAATAACACACGACTCTAGTGTTCATTTTTATAGCGAAAAGTAAAAAAAAATCGCTCTTATTGCAACAATCATTAAGGTTCAAGTTTATAATACTAGTTAGAGGAATATAGACCTTATGTTGGTATGGATAAGGTCGAGTTTTGCAAAGCATTATAGAGGAATATGGACTTTATTGCTTGTGTCGATAAGGAACATTTTCTTCAATAGTCAAAGTTGATAATTTTATTTGTTCTGTAAATATGAGAAAGAATAGTATTATAATTTCTGTATGTTTGTTACAGCCACGCCGCCTCGCTCGCTAAGAGGGCCGACAGAGATGTGTTCTTCATGAGCACACAGGCGCTCGTCGTACTAGTGCAGAGATACAGGTAACTTATAATTATTAGTAAACTGACTGCCTCGTTGGCCGAGTGGTCGCAAGTGCGACTGCCAGGCAAGGGGTCTCGGGTTCGATTCCCGGGTCGAGCAAAGTATTACTGGGTTTTTAAAAAATCTCAGTAGTAGCACGGAGTCTGGAATTGTGCCCGGTATGTGGCAATAGACTCACCCCCTATTACATGGGACTCATAACATAAATAGTGAAAAGTGGGTGTTACATTATACAGTGGCATAATGTGCACCTAGGCCTACCCTTTCTGGGATAAAAGGCGTGATGTTATGTTATGTTATATTTCCAGGAATGGTATCCGCGGCAGAATGAAGGCGGCAGTACACGATCTACTGAAACAATACTATCAAGTTGAGAGCAATTTCCAACTAGGTGAGTCATTTTTTATTGCATAAGCCAGTAAACGAGCAGACGGATCACCTGATGGTGAGCAATCCAAGCAAGCCTGGAACACCAGAGGCATTACAAGTGCGTTACCGACCTTTTGGGGATTAAGAGTTTGAGGGTCGTTGGGGATTCAGGAATTAGGGAGATTGGGGAAGGGGAGGGTAATCGGGCCTCCGGTAACCTCACTCACACGACGTGAAACAACGCAAGCGTTGTTTCACGTTGGTTTTCTATGAGGCCGTGGTATCACTCCGGTCGAGCCGGCCCATTCGTGCCGAAGTATGGCTCTCCCACAATTAGTCTTAACTATTTTTTGAGGGACTAGCCCGCCACAGCTTCCCAAAACCGCTGCAACTCCTCCGTATCAGGTCAGGATCTTCAGTAGATACAAATTGACTGCGCGTTTGGCGCGGTGGCTGGGTAACGGGTTGCCGCGCAACATATAGCGGGTTCGATTTCCGCACGGTACAACTCTGTGTGTGATCCACAAATTGTAGTTCCGTGTCTGTGTGTGATGTGTATGTGAACTTGTATGTTTGTAAACGTACACACGACACAGGAGGAAATCCTTGTGTGGGACAGCGTTTTTAAAGCATGCAAACACTAAAGTATTAAAAACCAACGTCCCAAGGACATGAATAACTATATTGGAGAAGAAGAACTAAATAATTTCCATTTTCCTCGCTGAAGTCTATGGTACATTAATATGGCTTAGTATATTTGCTAAACAAGCAGATGGGTCAGCTGATGGTAAGCAATCGGCGTCGCCCATGGACACCTGGAACACTAAAGCAGTTACTAGAGTGTTGCCGACCTTTGTGGAGGGATAGGAACGGGTTTCTAAGATTTTTAAACATTTCGATAATGTCTTAGTATGACTTTTTTTGGCATGGAACTAATGCGACTGGATTTGAATCCAGTATACACGAAGTCCGCAGTCCGAAGACGAGCAGTCCGGCCCATCACATGCTCTGGGAGTGTGATCTCTGGCAATATGAACGTAACACTATGTTGAATAATTTAATTGTTTCGTCAGGTGTAGCTTATTATACGGACCTTGTGGAATCTAGAAGAAATTTCCGTGCGTTTAGGCGTTTTTGCCATACCTATTATTGGAAGCAAGTATAACAGCTCACACATAAGACCCACTTAGTTTTTAGTCAAATTTCCGTGGTTTTTGGCGACTGGGCTACACCCAGTTGTACATTATCTTTTTGTGTACTCTTAATTCATTCTGTCTCCTACAGCAGTAATTCACCGAGGCAAGTGGAAACTATTGTTTTTTTCTTCTCTTATAATAATCTTCTCATTTATTTCGTTGCGGGATCCAAGACAGTTACTCATGTCCCTGGGACGCGCCGGACTTCAGTGTTCCGGTGTTTTCATGTGTATGTGTATGTAGATTCTGGCTTACAGAAGTTGCAGCGGTGTTACGAGGTTGAGGCGGGCAGAAAAGAAAATACACGTTGTCTACCCTTGTTTTGATTTATATAAGTGGGCTAATTTACCCTTACCAACCATATAACATATGATTTCAATTGTCATAGGATCCTACGATAAATGCGTGGCCGCTCTCCGCGAGCGACACAAGGACGACATGCAAGCTGTGTCCAACATTATATTCTCACACAATCAGGTCGCCAAGAAGAATATGTTGGTGAGTACAGTTTCAATTTTATTGTACTTTAGGGATAAAATAAACCAATAAAATACCGATTTTTTTATCATTGGTGTTGTTTAATACTAGTTGCTTCATCAGATGCTCGGCTCGTGTTAATCGTAGCGTGATTTTATCTAGCCTATAGACTTTCTCAATAAATGGTCTATACAACACAAAAATAATTATTCAATTTGAACTAGTAATTCCGTAGATTACCCCTATAAAACATAATAACTCTTTAGCTTTATACACCGTGATATGTATCTCATTTCCGTCCCGTTCCAAAACAACTTGCCATAAGGAGAATTTTCTATATATAAAGTAAAAACAAGCAAAGAGACACTAGATTTAACTTTGTAGTGCCTACAAAGCCTATCATTCGCATCGCACGTGCACCCCGACGAGAAACACCTCTTCGAGAATGACATGGCGTGATGTTTTGATAATGTACTATGAGTTTGTATGCGCTTTCGAAGTTTGCTTTTTTGCAATGGTTCACCAGTTATTTTTTGTTTTAAACATTTTATTTCTATGTCAAACTATTGTATTACCGAGACAGAACCATTTTGCTTCGGGACGATACTGATATAAATTTTACGGTGTATAATAGTATAAGATAGTACAAGTATATAAACAGCTGTAGCCAAATACCATTTAGCGCTTGTCTACATGTAGAATTGAAAATTAAATTATATGGGATTGACGTAAATTTTGACACTTGTCAGTGTCATCCTCATACATTTAGTTTTCTACTTTCTGCGTAGACAAGCGCTAAAGTGGCGTTTGGCTAAAGGTGAAGATTATCAAGACGTGATAATTGTGTAGTCATGGATTTAACCCCCTTTTTTCTCTTGCTAGGTAACCCTCCTAATAGACCACCTATGGTCCAACGAGCCCGGTCTGACAGACGAGCTAGCGACGACTCTCAACGAACTGACGTCACTGCACCGTGCCGAGCATAGCCGGGTCGCGCTGAGGGCTAGACAGGTATGTTACTGGTTTTTTATTATACAATTTTTAAGGGGAGACATCATCCAGTCAGTTCTCCCGCCTTGTGTGATGCGAGAGAGGGTGTCAGGCTCTTACTGACTAAAAACCACCCCGTTTTTACTCCTGCACTTCGAGCCGGAGCCCCGGTAACCCGTTAAGTCCTCCGCGGCTCCGTATCGGCATCAGCCCTATTGGGCCCCATCTGTTTTACACTTGTGACCAAAGAAACCAGCGTATTTCCTTTTTTATTTCTTGATAAATATTTTCTAATACTAGTATTTTATTAATTGGTAACGTATGTTGTATTAAGGGCAGTTTAGTTACCTTTACAATAGGGTACTTTCCCCAATCAAAAATGAATATGGTTAGTTAGTTAAAAAAAAAAAATTTGTTTGTAATTTAGATATAAGAGGCCTCAATATCGATTTGGATTAGTCTGTAAGGATATTGCTGGGAATAAAATAAAATAAAAAAAAAGAATTATTTAACTGTTCAATTCAATAAAATATTTTAAAAAATCACACTTTCATTAACCGCTTGAATGCCCGTACATGAGACACAATAGAAAATACATTGTGCCTCGTATATCGCTTGGATCCACGTTTAGATACACGACGGGTTAATTGACTTTATGACCAACTTAATTTTAGTATTCTCCAGTAAATTTAAAAAAAAATAGTATGCTGTTTGACACTAAACAAACGTGACGTCACAATACACAATCTCGTACAAAATTCATAGAAAACTGTCGTTTTTGACAGTTCGAAAAAAGTATTGAATTTGACTTGTTGGCAAGTACACAATTTTAATAACATTTTGTTATAAAAGGAATAATCTTTTTAAAGTTATAAAGGGTTCGATGAAATGGAGGAAACCGTTAATGGCTTCGTTTCTTTGCTCTGAAGAGAACAATACAATCATGTGTTGTAAGAAATATCTAAATAATCCAAGTCTAAATCCCTCTTTGGTGAGCAATTTAAAATACCCTTGTTTATCATAAAAGCCCCAATTTGGTACTTGCCAACTTGTCAAATTCGATACTTTTTTGAACTGTGTTCTACGATTTTGTACGCGATTGATATTGTGACGTCACGTTTTTTAGCGTCAAACAGCATATTTATTTCTTAAAAAATTGCTAAAAAAATATTCAGTTGGTCATAAAATCAATTATTGAAAATGTGAATATTTAATTGTATTGAACAGTAGAAATAAAATATTTTTGATTGAGGATAGTATCCAATTTCATAAACCCTTCTCCTCCAGGTCCTGATAGCAGCTCACCAACCAGCGTACGAGCTCCGTCACAACCAGATGGAGTCCATCTTCCTCTCCGCAGTGGACATGTATGGACATGACTTCCACCCGGAGAACCTGCAGAAACTCATCCTGTCCGAGACGTCCATATTTGATATACTCCACGACTTTTTCTACCATACGAATGCTGCGGTAAGTTATCTACTATATAAAAATAAGTCGGGTTTTCCTTCCTGACGCTATAACTCCAGAACGCACGGAACGATTTTCACGGTTTTGCATTCGTTGGAAAGGTCTTGGGATCCGTGAGGTTTATAAAATACTAGCTTTTACCCGCGGCTTCGCTCGCGTCACAAAAGGATAAAAAGTAGCCTATGTGACATATACCAATACACACAGCGCCATCTATACCAATACTTTTATTTTGCCTCGGGAATATCACATTTTTCCGGGTTAAAAAGTACCCTATTATTTAATCCGGACTTCTAACTTTACGTTTGCAAAAATTCAAAGCAATCGGTTCAGTAGTTACGGCGTGAAAGTGGAACAAACAAACAAACAAACTCACTTTCCGATTTATAATATTAGTAAGGATATAATAAAAAAAAAATTTTTCTTCATCTTTTAATCGTCAAACTAAACGTTACATAAAACGAAGCCATCTGGTGGCGAAACGGAGTTCGCAGGGTTTGCTAGTGTAATATAAATACAGCGGTGCAATGTATAATTTAAATTCCAAACCTTGATTTAAGATCTCAAAAGAGTAAACATAGAATATGAAGTTTGCAATATCTGAAACAAAAAGCACAATATAAGTAGTCCTATGCCCATTTTCACTAACCACTCCTAAATTTTTATGGCACACCTTTTTTATGGCATAATCCGGTAAACGAGCAGACGGATCACTTGATGGTAAGCAATCGGCGTCACCCATGGACACCTGCAACACCAGAGGCGTTACAAGTGTGGGAGAGCCATGCTTCGGCACGAATGGGCCGGCTCGACCGGAGTGATACCACGGCCTCACAGAAAACCGACGTGAAGCAACGCTTGCGGCGGCCTTTTGGGGAATAGGAGTTTGAGGATCGTTGGGGATTCAGGGATTGGGAAGATTGGGGAAGGGGAGGGTAATTGGGCCTCCGGTAACCTCACTCACACGACGAAACACAACGCAAGCGTTGCTTCACGTCGGTTTTCTATGAGGCCGTGGTATCACTCCGGTCGAGCCGCCTTTGGACCTCCGCTAAGATATTTTACCATCTCGATCCTTTCAACCGTTTGTGATTGTGATTGAGTAACAAACCTACACACAAATTTACAAACATTCTCATTTATAATATTAGTAGTTATTATTTAACCCGTCGAGCGTCCGCGTTCCTTATGATCCAACGGGTGCACACGTGACATTTGGAGAAAGAAAGAAACTGCATTTATCTGACCATTGGCACACGAAAACAAGTATCATTACAATAGAAATAAAACAAATACAGTCAAAATAAAAACAAAACATTAATAATAGATTATATGAAAGAGAAAGCAGCATGGAGCATTTTTTCTTATGATCCACCGGGTGCTCATAAGGACGCTCGAGGGGTTAACTGTTATTGCAACTTACCGAAACAAACAATTCCATATTAAACGCCAACATATTTAACGCGACAATCTCGTTGGGTACTTGCGCACGCGCAACCATAAACAATATCATCTTCCTAACTCTCTGGTCGTCGACTTGTTCCCATCCGCTGCTGTAGAAGCGATTCGCTGTTTCCAATGACTGTAATAGGGTAGATGACTAATTTTTATTGTAATGTCCGTCTGGTAGATTATTTAAAAATATTAGACACGTATTTTTAATATTCTTACAGAAACGAATACTTTCGAAGATATATTGATTTGAAATATCGCATGACGTCACTTTTGAGTGCGATTTATACTCTAAAATGACGTAGCTACCTCCCACTCCTAAACTTTGATTTGTTTTATCTAAGTATTGTTTTCTTATACGACAATATAAACAATACGAGGCTAATATTTTTTCATTGCAAGTCAGGTAATGAAAAAACTAATTCAAACTAACACTTTTCACTGTTTATGTTGTAAGTCCCATGTAATAGGGGGTGAGCCTATTGCCATATACCGGACACAAATCTAGACTCCGTGCTATTACTGAGATTTATTTAAAAATCCCAGCAATACTTTGCCCAACCCGGGAATTGAAACCAAGACCCCTTCCGCGGCAGTCGCACTTGCGACCATTCGGCCAAAGAGGCAGTCAGATCAGTCCAGACAGATTATATAAAAGGAGTTACAAGTTAAAACCTCACTCCCACGGCTGCATACAACGCAAGCGTTGTTTCACGTAATTTTTCTGTATGTTGGTACTTGGTAGTACCACTCCAGTCGAACCACCCCGTTCTGCCGAAGCATACCTTGACAAATAGGGTAGACGACTAATTTTTATTTTAATGTCCGTCTGGTAGATTATTTAAAAACATTAGACACGTATTTTTTCTTTTCTCACAGAAACGAATAGTTTCGAAGATATATTTATTTGAAATGTCGCGTGACGTCACTTCTCAGTACATTTTATACTAAGAAATGACGTTTTAGCCCCCACTCCTAAACTTTGATTCGTTTTATCTAAGTATTGTTTTATTATACGACAAAATAAAAAATACGTGTCTAATATTTTTTCATTACCTAACTTACGGACTAATTATATTTTTAATTTTCATACCCTGTCATCATCCCCATTATAAATTACGTATTCCAATTCAAATTCTTGCATATCATATGTACAATGGTGTTACATGAGGTACAGTTTCAACATGAAACCCGGCTAGGGCACGGCAACATATGGAGCAAAATATAATCTAATTAAACTAATCAATACTATCAATATATTTTGCATTAAGCATTCAAATACATCTAGACTGCACGGTTGGCGCAGTGGCTGGGGAACTGGCTGCCGCGCAACGTGTCGGGCTTGATTCCCGAACGGAACAACTCTTTGTGTGATCCACAGATTGCTGTTCCGTGTCTCTGCGTCATGTGTATATGAACTTGTATGTTTGTAAACACACACACGACACAGGAGCATCCTAGTGTGGGGCAACGTTTTAATAACTTATTTTGCTTTAAGCATCCGAACTTACCATGGCCTTCAGTTTAGCTGCATAGCGACAAGGCAGGTATATGTGAATCACGGCGCCAGTCACAAATATCATGTATCGAAGGTCGAACCCGTAACCCTAGAAATATTTTATTTTTATTTTTTATTTTAAAAGACTTCATGCACACACTTATGTACAAGGTGGGCTTAATGCCTAGGGCATTCTCCTCCAGCCAGACCGTTGGGTGATGCAGAGACAAAAACAATGGTCGATGCAAGAAGCAAGCGTATTTAGGACTAAACAGAAATACATAAAAAAGGATAGTATAGACTTACATAAAATAAATCCCTATATAAACTTACATGTATATAACATAACAATAAACTTACACAGTTATTTTACATATACTACTTAGACGTAACATAACTATACATAGTATATTGATAGTTACGACTCTGCCAATCTCTTCAAAAGTAGCTCCCGAACCTTCCGTTTGAATGACAAACGACTGGGCACCATCCTGATATCGGGAGGGAGCGCCAAAAAATATGATTTTACTTCTCATCATTATAGTCAAACGACCTCTGAGATAACAAATAAATAACGATTTTTCAAAAATACCTCAGTTATGTGATACAAGCAGGTACATATTTGTATCATAGTCGCCAGGAATATGATGCCCAGCCAAATGTTGAAGGTATCCTGAATTAGATCCACGAATCTGGAAAATAATAGTACAGTTAAATTCATACATATCAGTGTGATAATGGACGGAAGCCCAATCCTCGATCCTCAATCCCCAATATCCCAATTGTAAATCCCGAAAAGCCGGCAACGCACTCGTAGCGCCACTATTATTACAGCGTCCATATGCGGCGTTGATTGTTTACCATCAGTTGGTCCGTCTGCTCATTTGCTGTCCTATCTCATAAAAGACACTGCGTTAACCTTCTTCAGTTTTAGATTTTTTTTAAATCATCCAATGACTTCTCCGAGCAACTTTTTCTTTGGAGGGGGGCTAATCATCCAATGAAATGACTTCTCCCCCTTTTTTCAATATTCAGTAATAATTCTCTGCCGTACGGGCCCTTGTCATACATTACTTCTCCCGAGGCGAGGCGTGAGGTCAGACTCTTATTGACTAAAAACCACCCCGTTCCTACTCCTGCGAAAGCCTGAGCCCCGGCAATCCGTTAAGTCGTCCGCAGCTCCGGGGTTTAAAACCCACTTACTGAAACATACGACACTGCTCCTTGATAACTCCTATAACTCGGCCGCAGACCTCATGAGCATCAGCTTTGAAGGCCTCCTCCAACGCCTTGCAGTACAGGTCCATCTTCAGACACGCATGGTTGATGGCCAACCCGAAGAAACCGTCGTACCCAGTAAAGTTTACGACATAGAGGATAGAACAGTAGAACATGTAGACGAATATTATCTGGAAGGTAATGATGAGTAAGGGGGCTATTTGTACGGGAGAACCATGTTTCGGAACAGCTGGGTCGGCTTGACCGAAGTGATACCACGAAACCATAGGGACACTACCACAGGATAAGAAATATGACGTGAACATATGCTTTGGTTGTGTTTCGTCGTGTGAGTGAGCTTACCCGAGACCTAATCACCGCATCTTCTTCTGCTGTTGCTGATCATTGGCCTCTCCATTCCTCCAAAAGCTGGCAACGCTGTAACTTCTCAGGTGTTGCGGGTGTCTACAAAGATCTAGTCTAGAAGGGGTGTAGGGCCTATAAAGATTCTTAAGTCCAGAAGTAAGGGTTGTTCATCTATTTTAACATGATTAAAGAACACAATACAATGTAAACTTTAGCATTTTATACCTTTTTAATCATCATCATTATCATGAATTCGAAATTATAAGCACACGGTTTCCTCACAATGTTTTCCTCCACCACTTGTCGGGACTACTTTATTACTTACCTCAAAATACGGCGACTCAAATCGATCCTCAGGGTCTTCAGAAAAAGGCTTCTCCAGATCGTGTATCATATACTTGACAGGCTCAGATTTAAACACGAAATTGTAAACGTTCAACGATATAGCCATTACTGGAAATGTCATCACGCAAGTAACCACGGTTATAGCCCATCCCCGCTCGCTGTATATTTGACAGTTCTTGACGCTGGCCCGCGCTATATCTTTGTATATTTCCGAGTAGTTGTTTATGTTTTCGTAATCTCTGTCTATTTCGTCTAAGATCTGTTTTGCTTGGATTCGTTTGTGGTACATTAGTATCATCTGGAAATATGGCACAAGTTATTTTAAGTTGGCTGGTAATTTTATTCTATTTCTATTGACTATTCTGTGCCTTTATCCAAACGTCACTTTAGCGCTTGTCCACAGAGAGAGTAGAAAACTAAATGTATGGGGATGACACTGACAAGTGTCAAAATTTACGTCAATCCCATATAATTTGGTTTTCTATTCTACATGTAGAGAAGCGCTAAATGGCATTTGGCTACAGCTGCTGAACAGTAAACACGAAAATAAGGTACCTTAAAAAATCCGCCGAGAAAGGGTCCAACAACAGTACTATGTCGGATAATGTTCACAATGTCTTTAGCCATCCAGCATTTATACATGTCTATGAAAATCATCGTAGCCAGTGGAGTTATTGTCGCTATTAAAAATGCTGTTGTAAAAAACAAATACTATTAATAAATACCAGGTGGCGTATTATGATGTCTTAAAGCCGCTGAAGAAACGAGATCTCGATAGACTCGTATAGCTCTGAGGGCTTAGTACGAGTTTATTTTTCGTTTAAAGTAATCGAAACGAGACGGCGTCCGGCCCTCTGATTGGTTTGTTCGGTGGAGCCGGCCAATCACAGCGCCGAACTCGTACTCGTTACTTTAAACGAAAAAGAAACTCGTACTAAGGCTTCTGTTTCTTTCACTCAATGGAACCATTCTGACTTGAGGACTGACCTAATAACCCCGCGGATTACGAATAGTGCGAAATATGTACGAAAACATCCAGAGGTCCTAAACGTGGAGGCTAGAAATGGTATCATTTTATTATTTTACTAGCGGACCCGACAGACGTCCTGCATATCCACTTGAATGTACAAACAAAAATTCATTCAAATTATACAGCCGTTTAGGATAAATAACCTAGAAACCGACTGCAGCGCCATCTGCCGGGCTGTGAATCTAAACCATTCCCAGATCCCCTTGAACACACACACTCATAGAAGAATTATATATATAAAGATGTTTAAGGGCAAGTTAAACTTGTAAATGGTTTAGCTTCTTTATTTTAGTATGTACTGAATTTTGTATTCTATAATGGAACTGACGTTTGTATTCTATACCCCACAATAGAAGGGAAAAAAGCCATACTTATAAAAAAATATTTAAAAAAAAGTTAGAATGCACTGTTTCTGGGAACAACATGTATGGAAATTACAAACTGAATTCTCTTTTGCCAAATATACACTAGAATACTGAAAGTCAACAAAGTAAAGTTGTACTTAAATATCGTGCCATCTCTATCATTTTACAAAGAGTTTGTAGAGACAGAACTATAGTTAGTTGCGACTTTAAATTAAGTAGAGTTTGAGTATTTCAGGGCTAGCCTTTCAAACATAAGTCAGTTTCATCAGTTATTGGGGTTATAATCCACATAAGTAATATTTTTATCTGACTTCTTTATAAGTACAATACAATTAAATAAAAAGCACGAAAATCTAATTAACACCATGATTACAGAATAAAAATGGTTCGATAATAAAGTATTTTGAACATAAACTCATTAACTACTACTATATGTGGGGAGCTCCATGCTTCGGCACGAATGGGCCGGCTCAACCGGAGTGATACCACGGCCGAGCAGAAGACCGACATGAAACAACGCTTGCGGTGTGTTTCGTCGCGTGAGTGAGGTTACCGGAAGCCCAATTACCCCTCCCCGTTTCCCAATCCCTGAGTCCCTAACAATCCTCAAATTCCTAATCCCAAAAGGGTAACGCCTCTGGTGTTCCAGGTGTCCATGGGTGACTCCGATTGCTTACCATCAGGCGATCCGTCTGCTCGTTAACCAGCTTATCCCATAACAAAAATTAAAATCATAAGATCGATTCTCACTCTGAACACACAATTTCGGAATGTAATTAAATACTTACGAATGCTAGCCAACCGCCACATCTCAGTTTTAGGATTCGGGTATATCATACCGACGCTCAATGCGAACGTTATCAATTTATAAGTTTCATGGAACGTCGTGAATTCTGGTGGTTCTTCCATTGCTTTATCTATGGTATTTTCAAAATTATAAGTACACTTCTATCTTGTCTCTGGTATAATTTATATGTGATCGTGGATTAACGTCTAGCTTGATAGACGGCATTTATAAACTACTAATAATATGAATGCGAAAGTTTGTTTGTTTGTTAATACTCGCATAATATCACGCCTTTCATCCCCGGAGGGGTAGGCAGAGGTGTAAATTATGTCACTGTACAATGTAACAGCCACTTTACACTATTTATGTTATGAGTCCCATGTAATAGGAGGTGAGAGATTCCAGACTCCGTGCTACTATTGAGAATTTTTAAAAAACCTAATATTTGTATTGTAACTTTCGTGAGACATACTAAATAAATTATTATGTTTTCGGCTTACTCACGTAATAATAAACAGTAGCACCGCGACAGTAGCAGCGCGACAGTCGCCGCGTCGCGGGTCTCGAAATGCTGCTCATGAATATGAGCCTCTAGCATGGCTTTAAAAAAATCATCTTATAAATACATTTCCTAAAACTACACAAGCATAGCCACGTCTCTAAATCAGTCGAATCGTCACATCAAAAAGCTAGCCTCAGGCGATAAAGTTCAATAGAATTACCTAATGAGATAATTGATTAAAATACTCCCCAGTTCCTCTTAGTACATTAATAATTCCTTTATCATTCTGTACTGTGATTGTCCATGATTCTCTTAAGTGGTAAATTTTCTTTTGTAACAGTGATTTTGTAATTGCCAAATAAGTCTTTGATGTAGGGAATTTTGATTAGGTTATTAAGGCTTGGTGAAGTTGGTGTAGTGGTTGGGGATGTCTCGCTTGGGGATTTGGGTTTGATTTTTAGTATTCAGTGGTGTTTGAATATTTTTTCTTGAAATAACATTTTTGATTTAAAAGAAGGGCCGAATTAAAATTCGTTGGGAGTCGAAGGGAGGTTTAAGACGCCCGCTTTTCATGCATGAAGGTGTGGGTTCGAAACCTACCAACGGCAAGTACCAATGTGACTTTTTCCGAGTTATATGTACTTTCTATGATTATCTAGACACCACTGACAAACTGTGAAGGAAAACATCGTGAGGAAACTTCGGCTTATAATTTCTAATTATATTGAGCAATATCAATCGCATTGAGCAAGCGTGGTGATTAGTGCTCAAACCTTCTCCGTGTGAGAAGAGGCTTTGCTCAACAGTGGGATTTTATAGGCTGTTGATGATGATATTGCCATATACCGGGCACAATGCCCGACTCGTTAAACGAAATTTAACTCGTTTAACTCGTTAGAAGTCCAGATAATAGGGTACTTTTTATCCCTTTGTGACGCGAGCGAAGCCGCGGGCAAAAGCTAGTATTTTATAGGTGCTAATTTTAACATGAGCCTTAATCTTCATCATCTTCCCCAGGTATGCAACGCCGCCCTAGAAGTATACGTGCGCCGAGCGTACACATCGTACGACATCACCTGTCTCCAACACCTCGCTCTGTCAGGAGAGCTCGGAGTAGTCCACTTCCAGTTCATATTGCCTACTGGACATCCTAACAGGTGAGTTTTTTTTTAACAAGTTTATTCATTGCAATTTTACATATGTATGGCCTTAAATATAAACTTGCTTGACGTTTGATGGCGATAGACGCTCATTGTGCAAACAATTTTAATTATATCATAACATTTTTCCTTAACATAGGTACTTACACTACAACCCAAGCATGACATACCAAGTATTTGTTGTATCATTACTTATATTGAATTAAAAGTTGAGGATATGATCCGTGCAACTACTGAGATTTTTTAAAAATCCAGTAATTATTTTCTCGACCCGGGAATCGAACCGGCAGTCGCACTTACGACCACTCGGCCAACGAGGCAGTCTTCGAAGACTACAACACAATATTATTCTTCAACAGAATCCCAATCAGCCAATCTGAAATCGAGCTGGCTTCAGCACAAGACCAGGAAGGTATACCAGCAGAGCTCTGTACAGCAGCGATGAGGAAGTGTCACCACCGCACCGGAGCCCTCGCGGCCTTCGAGTCTTTCGACCAGTTCGTCCAGTACTCGGACGAGCTGCTCGACCTGGTCCATGACTTCGCCAGCTCCGCCACTGTTAGGAGAGAGGTGAGTTGTATCCAGGTGGAAGAGTGTGTTACGAGAAGAGAAGAGGATCATTCATGGAATGGCTATAGGTAGCTGCTAAGTGATGTGTCGCGGGTTCGATTCCCGCGCCGACTAAAAAGTGATTTTGACGTTTTCTGAGTAAAATTGCCATTGTTTGCTCGGCGTCAGGAAGTTCGGCAGTGTTTCACCTCTTTTCCTAGGTACGGAGTGTACGCAGATGTCGCCGGATACTTCCGCGCGGTTTCACACGCTCTGCTCTGCTCCTATTGATCGTAGCGTGATGTTTTATTGCCTCTAGCCATCCTCGATAAATGCACTATCCAACACAAAAAGAATTATTCAAATAAGACTTTTAGTTACGGAGATTAGCGCGTTCAAACAAACAAACAAACAAAAACAAACTCTTCCACTTTATATAATAGTATAAGATATAAGATTATAGGTTAAGCCTTTAACTGCCGACAAAAACTGTTAAAGGCTAATCCTCCGCTAGCGTCGGACAACATTGTCCGACACGGCATCCGATGTGTTAAAGAATCATTAAGGATTTCGAACATTAGTTATCTGTCATTAGGTGCTTTGATTTTGTTATTTTGATACAGGTACCTACATAAAATATAGCTTTTACCCGCGGCTTCGCTCGCGTCACAAGAGGATAAAAAGTAGTCTATGTGACATATACCGATACACACAGCGCCATTTATACCAATACTTTTGTTTTTCCTCGAGAATATAAAATTTTTCCGGGTTAAAAAGTACCCTATTATTTAATCCGGACTTCTAACTATACATCTGCAAAATTTCAAAACAATCGGTTTAGTAGTTACGGCGTGAAAGTGGAAAAAACAAACAAACAAACTCACTTTCCGATTTATAATATTAAGTAGTAAGGATAAGATATAAGATTATAGGTTAAAGAATCATTAGGGATTTCGAACATTAGTTATCTGTCATTAGGTGCTTTGATTTTGTTATTATGATACACGTACCTACATAAAATAGTATAAGATTTGTGTTGTTCCAGGATCTGGCCGCGTTACAGGAAGGTAGTGAGAGTAGAGATAGTACCAGCATCAACGTCGGCCTGGATTACAAGCCCAATGATCCTGATAATGAGGTAAATTTTCCTTAACTACACATCGCTGGTTACTCACGTGAATATACTGAGAAAAACTCTACTAGTTTCGAACCACAGAGGGGTTCTTCCTCATGAGCAGCGTGCGCGGTCGCGTTATTCTGTCAACTGGCAACGAAACCGAACCCACTGCCCGCAGTCGCGGAGAACCTAACGGGTAACCGGGGCTCCGGCTCGACGTGCAGGAGAAGGAACGGGGTGGTTTTTAGTCAGTAAGAGTCTGACACTCCCTCCCGCCTCACCCAGGCGGGAGGAGTCAATCGATGATTTTCCCACCTTATAAAAAAAAAACCCACTACCCGCGCCGCTGGTGAACGTACCGTGCGCGTCAACATCGCCCGGCGCGTCGCCACCGGAGTTGGAAGCAAACGCTCGTGGTGTCCGGCAGGGGGCGCGTTGGATACGCAAGTAGCAACACCGAGGCGAGCGCCAACGCTGGCCAGTGAGCTGCGCGACGTCGCCGCGATTACGCACGCTGCTCATGAGGAAGAACCCTCAGGTGGAAGGACAGAGAAGCGCTGGGTGAAGGAAAAAGTCATGGCTGCGCAATATACGGGAGTGGACTGGTATCAGCTCTGTGGAACAATATTTCCTGGTCAATGACGAGGACCAATTCAGCTGACGGCCAACCTTCAGGAATGGAATGGCACCATAAGAAGAAGAATAATAATAATAATTCACTCAAAATTGACTTTCTAAAACTCGATATGCTGTATTAATAGCCATTATAGAGGTATATACTTTATCCCCTTTATTAACCCCTCGAGCGTCCTTATGAGCACCCGGTGGATCATAAGAAAAAATGTTCCATACTGCTTTCTGTTTTATAAAATCTATTATTAATGTTTTGTTTTTATTTTGACTGTATTTTTTATTACTATTGTAATGATCCTTGTTTTCGTGTGCCAATGGCCAAATAAATGCATTTTCTTTCTTTCTCCAAATGTCACGTGTGCACCCGTTGGATAATAAGGAACACGGACGCTCGACGGGTTAAAAAAACAGAATCAAATTGAAATTTTCTCTATATCCATGTTTGTAATATCTCCCCCAGGCCCCTCTGGAACCGATCCACATACTAATGATAGGAGTCCGTGACTCCGGCGAGAACGATGACAGCGCGGTCTCCAGGAGATTCGGCAACTTCTGCAGGGCTCATAGACATGAACTGCACCAAAAGAGGATCAGGAGGATCACTTTCATGCTGCTAATCAAGTAAGTTTTGAGGTTTTAACCCATATATATTCCTAAGCGGTCACCGGTGACCGATCTCCACAAACTACATTATAGACCTTATTTCCAATATTTAGAGACTACTTTTGTATGAACAAATTTAGGGGATGAATTTTAACGGGTTAAGAAATACAGGTAGTATAACTTAAACTAGCTTCTGCCCGCGATTTCGTACGCGCAATCCGGTTTTGTCCCGGTCCCATAAGATTTTCAAGATTATTTCTGTCTTAAAAACCTTCTCCTAATAAATAATAAATACAACAAAAAAGGATTAATGTAATCGGTCCAGCCAATCACGCGTGATGCCGTAACCAAAGGAAAAAGGGATTCATCTACAAGGGAATAAGGGATTCATTTTATATATATTGATGTGGTGGCTCGCTCGTAATACAGTCTGGTAAGGCAGTTCCATAAATTTCGAGGACCCCTTCTCGCAATTGGGATGATGACAGGGTATGAAAATTAAAAATGTAATCAGTCCGTAGGTTAGGTAATGAAAAAATATTAGACACGTATTTTTTTATTTTGTCATATAGGTATAAAACAATACTTAGATAAAACGAATCAAAGTTTAGGAGTGGGGGCTAAAACGTCATTTCTACGTATAAAATATATATAGACGTGACGTCACGCGACATTTCAAATCAGTATATCGTCGAAAGTATTCGTTTCTGTGAGAAAATAAAAAATACGTGTCTAATGATTTGAAATAATCTACCAGACGGACATTAAAATAAAAAATTAGGCATCTACCCTATTTAACAGTTTCATATATGGTTCGCGACGCGTTTGTGATAACAGCTGAACGGATCTGTCTGAAAATTCGTAATAAATAACTCAGAAATACCTGTGTACTCATCGCTTACCCCCAGGCGAGATAGTGGTCAAACGTCGGCCCATCAAATATATAAACAAAGTACTGAAAAGTAGCTATACTGTCTATGGTTTTCAACAACAAACAGCGTTATTGTTAACGACGTAATTACTTTTTTTCTAGGCGCCAATTCCCTAAATTCTTCACGTTCCGAGCTCGCAACGACTTCACGGAAGACACGATCTACCGCCACCTGGAACCTGCATCCGCCTTCCAGCTGGAACTGTATCGTATGAGGAGCTATGAGCTAGAGGCACTGCCTACCAGCAACCAGAAGATGCATCTGTATTTGGGTAAAGCTAAGGTTAGTACTTCATGTTTCTAGTTATTTAAAGGCGATATAAGCCAGACTAGTAATTGGCGTTCCATAGTCTCTGCCTACCCCTATGGGAGACAGGCGTGAAGTTATGTATGTATAAGCAAGACTAATTCTTCTCCATTGTCTTCTATCACTCACTCTTTCCCCCTCCCCTCTACCTCTATCCCCCTTACTCCTCACTCTAAATCTCCTTCTCACGCCCAACTGCCCCGTCACCTCTCCCCCCTTCCCCCCCCCCCCCGTCACTTCTCCCCGCCACACACCCCTCAACTCAGTCCTACCTCGCTATCGAGGGATAAACCTTCATATCTTTAAAAAACGGCGAGATCGCATGCTACGATCACCCCACAATCCCCGCCCCCCTACCCAACTCCCCCCCCAAATTTTCTGCGTTCACCAACTATTAACTCCTGTAAAGCATAATCTACAGTAGCAACTAGATAACTATAAACCTCTTATTCAATTTAAACTTATCTTTGCAGGTAAAGAAGGGCCAGGAGGTGACAGACTTCAGATTCTTCATCCGCTCTATCATCAGACACCAGGACCTCATCACTAAGGAGGCTAGCTTCGAATATCTACAGAATGAAGGAGAAAGGTGAGCTATTTAAATCCCGAAAACGCCCGCAACACATTTGTAACTCCTCTATTTTTCCAATGCCTTTAGCCAAACGCCACTTTAGCGCTTGTCTACAGAGAGAGTAGAAAACTAAATGTATAGGGATGATGTCAAAATTTACGTCAATAATTTGGTTTTCTATTCTACATGTAAACAAGCGCTAAATGGCATTTGGCTACAGCTGCAGGTGTCGATGGGCGCCGATTGCTTACCATCAGGTGGTCCGTATGCTCGTTAACCGGCTTATCCCATAAAAAAAGTCATGTATTTAGGAATTTTTGGGGTTTTTTATAAGTATCTAAGTCAAATAAAACCTTTTTTGGGCATCGTCTTTTGTAGAGTACCGACATTCTAGTTATTTAAAATGCAAAACTACAAGTTCGGGTTCAATTCCCGGGTGGGGCAAAGTATTACTGGGCTTTAAAAAAAATCTCAGTAGTAGCACGGAGTCCGGAATTGTGCCCGTTATACGACAATAGCATAAATACTGAAAAGCGGGTGTTACATTGTACAGTGGCATTAAGTGCTGTAACGTGTACCTCTGCCTACCCCTTCGGGGATAAATGATGATGTTATGTTAAAAACTTAAACATGTGTATTTGTAATTGGTTCACTCATACTTGCACTTATTATTGTTACTAAGTCTTCAATGCACTAAAAATAAATAAAATTGTCAGGGTACTCCTAGAAGCGATGGATGAGCTGGAGGTGGCTTTCTCCCACCCTCTGGCCAAGCGGACGGACTGTAATCACATCTTCCTCAACTTTGGACCCACTGTCATCATGGATCCCGCTAAGGTAACAAATTTATTAATATTACCAGGTTGTTTATACACCGTTAAATTTGAATCGTTTTAATCCCTTGGAGGTTCGAACTGGTCCATGAAACACTATCGATTTGTAAAGATAAAATTAAAAAATAAAGTACTTTTTTTTTAATAACTCGAATCAATTCTCGCATGAGTGAATAAATAATGCGAACCGTTAGTACAGTTATGTCGGTCCTAAGCCCGTAAAAGTATGAAGGAAAATTTGGAATCAATTTATTTGTTTACCTACGCAAACATCAGTTGATCGAGTCAATAACCTTATGCTCGATCGGGCCGTGTAGGTACCTACACTGCCCGATACGCAACGACCGACGACGACGTAGGTAACTATCTCGTGGCGCAACTTTTGGTTTCATACATTTTGCGAGTATAATCTTATCATTTGCTAATTTATTTATTTTTTATGTTACACCGCAGTACAAGCTTGTAATGAGTAGTATTCTGTTAGTTAAACCACAGGTCCATGGGATTAAAACGACTAAAATTTGAGGGTGTATGTAGTTGGTTGGGTAGAAGTCGTGGTCGCCCGGAGGTTTAAAGCCCGCTTCTCATGCATGAGAGTGCGGGTTCGAAACCTACCAACGGCATATACCAATGTGACTTTCCCGAGTTATATGTACTTTCTAAGATTATTTAGACACTACTGACAAACGGTGAAGGAAAACATCGTGAGGAAACCAGGGGGTTTACTCTTGAATCTATTTCCGATCGATCGACATTGGTATTGTGAAATTTCGTACTCTTGAGTAGTAACACTAACGCCTATTGCATCCGTATTATGTGGATATTGAATGAACTAAATGGTATTGAGTTTGGTTTCATTTTCCGTACTCTGAATGCTATTGTAACAGTTACGATTGTGGTTGTATAGTTTTGACATTGAATGATTATTGAGATTTTTTTATTGAAATTGTATTGACATTGAGATTGGTTTCAAGAGTAAGCACCCTTACTTCTCACACCCAACCTTCTCCGTGTGAGAAGAGGCCTTTGGTCAGCAGTGGCTGAAGATGATGATACAATACCAATAGACTCAAAACTTACACATGCGCTGTGTTATTGATTTGTTACTTATTGTATTTGATGCCTAACAATAGTCTTGCTCACAAAATGCGAGCACAATGGAATTATTGTTTATTTATTTGAACCTTTGTTTTGGAACTAGTAGTCTCTGTAAATTCGATTATTTATAACTAGCTTTTACCCGCGGCTTCGCTCGCATCACAAAAGAATAAAAAGTAGCCTATGTGACATATACTAATACACACAGCGCCATCTATATCAACATTTTTGTTTTCAATCGGGAATATCAATTTTTTCCGGAATAAAAAGTACCCTATTATTTAATCCGGACTTCTAACTTTACGTCTGCAAAAATTCAAAGCAATCGGTTTAGTAGTTACGGCGTGAAAGCGGAACAAACAAACAAACTCACTTTCCGATTTATAATATTAGTAAGGATACAATGCCTAGACAATCCACGTCCTCGTCAAATGACGACGTGAGAGATCCGTTGCCTAACTTATATCAACAACACTTCATTTTGGTGTAGTGTTCTCTCGTGTTAGAAATCACACTTAAATTCACAGTTTTTGGATTATTCTCGTAGCCGATTCGTACGGCCCCGGTATAGCTTGAAACTAATCGGGCATTCTCGAAAGAGGAATCTTAAACAGTTTGTGGAACAAGGTTGATGTTTCTTGATTTGAATAAGTGAGAATTCTCCGATTAGGCTAACGCCCGAATAATGAAAGACTACTCAAATTTAAATTGTACTTTAATATCGTGCCGTCTCTGTCATTTTACAAAGAGTTTGTAGGGACAGAACTATACTTAAGCGCGACTTAAAATAGAGTATTTCAGCGTAAGTGATCATACCTAGAGATGTAATACCCAAAGGTCGTATAATTAAAATTACACTATAATTAAAAAATATATCTAGGTACTATTGAAAATGAAGTGTTACTTACATCCCTGTTTACCTATATCCTGTAATAATAATATTTTGTATTATTTATTTTATTTTATTTATTTTACATTCACATTGACATTCACTTCATTATAGAATAACATATAATGCGACTTCGTGCCATACTCCACGCCTGAATCACTGTTTTCCAAAATACAAGCTTATAGCTTAGTTTGGAGAGCAGTGTCAGTATCGATCGTAATTCACACTCGTTCATGTAATTGCCGCATTTCTGTGAATGTAATATTGTGAAATTTTGTACAATAAACAATTTTTATTTTATTTATTTTTTATTATAGATCGAAGAATCCGTGCTGGGTATGGTGATGAGATATGGTCCACGGCTCTGGAAGCTGAGAGTGTTGCAGGCTGAGATCAGATTCACGCTGCGTATTGGTGAGTTACTATTGATATTGTTGAGATTAAATAATATTCGCTTTCTTTATAATTATTATTATGTTTTTGGCTTACTCACGTAACCGTTTGACGAGGAACTCGACTAGTTTCAAGCCACGCTAGAGGCTCGTATTCATTGGAAACGTCAATAGCAGCGCGAAAGATGAACATATTTTTTGTTTTAAGAACGTTTCCCCACATTAGGATTTTGTCCCGTGTCGTGGGTGCGTTTACAAACATACAAGTTCACATACACAATGACACCCAGACCCGAAACAACAATTTGTGGATCACACAAAGTGTTGTTCCGTGCGGGAATCGAACCCGTGACACGTTGCACGGCAGCTGGTTGCCCAGCCACCGCACCGACCGTGCAGTCACGTTTATGTTATCATAACATAACATAACATCACGCCTTTTATCCTCAAAGGGGTAGGCAGAGGTGCACATTATACCACTGTACAATGAAACACCCACTTTTCACTATTTATGTTATGAGTCCCATGTAATAGGGGGTGAGCCTATTGCCATATACCGGGCACAGTTCCAGACTCCGTGCTACTACTGAGATTTTTTTTAAAAACCCAGTAATACTTTGCCCGACCCGGGAATCGAACCCGAGACCCCTTGCTCGGCAGTCGCAATTGCGACCACTCGGCCAACAAGGCAGTCTATGTTATCATGATACTTTTTACCGAAAATTACGAAAATGAACGGGAAAAAACGGAATTGCGCGTACGAAGTCGCGGGCAGAATCAGCAACTAGTCGAAGACATACGGCATGTGATTTTTTTTTAAGGGGGGAAAATCATCGAATGACTGCTCCCGCCTGGGTGAGGCGGGAGGGATCGCAAAACAACTTGCGATTACAAAGTACTCCTTATGGCAAGTTGTTTTGCGATAAGGAGTACTTTCGGGACGGAAACTAAATACATTTCACGGTGTGTATCTTATATATATATATAAAAGAAAGTCGTGTTAGTTACACCACTTATAACTCAAGAACGGCAGAATAGATTTGGCTGAAAATTGGTAGGGAGGTAGCTTAGAACCAGGAGACCGACATAGGATACTTTTTAACCAACATTTTTTTTTACTTTTTCGGGGACGGGAAGAACTGGAATTATGCGTACGAAGTCGCGGGCAGAAGCTAGTAATTCATACTTTTTGTCCCCAGGTCCGGGTGCGCCAACAAAGAACGTCCGTCTCTGCCTGTCCAACGGTTCAGGATACTCGCTCGACATCTACACCTACGAGGAGGTGTCAGACCCTAAGATTGGAGTGGTGAGTTTATTAATACATAACATCACGCCTTTTATACCCGAAGGTGTAGGCAGAGTAGCACATTACGGCAATTAACGCTACTATACACTGTAATGCATGAGGGCACCCTCAGGGTTTCAGGAGGGTTCGAAACCTACCAACGGCAAGTACCAATGTGACTTTTTCCGAGTTATATGTACTTTCTAAGATTATTTAGTTAGACACCACTGACAAACGGTGAAGGAAAAACATCGTGAGGAAACCTGGACTTATAATTTCTAATTATAAGTTTGAAATCGCCAACCCGCATTGAGCAAGCGTGGTCATTAATGCTCTAACCTTCTCCGTGTGAGAAGAGGCTTTGCTCAGCAGTGGGCATTTATAGGCTGTTGATGACACTGTAATGAACATAGACTATATTTAATAAGAGAAAAAGAAGAGAACCGTATGACGATTTCGATAATGTAAAAAATGTATACAAAACGTATGTATTTATCTTTTAAGTATAAGAGTATTTTATGAATGGGTACGTAGGCAAGCGTTGGTAACGCTAAGGGACGCTTGGAAAATTGAAACAAAAAAACGTATGTCCTTCCTCATATTTTACGCGGGCGATGTCGCGGGTAACAGCTAGTTATATAATAATAATAAAATTAATTCATTTTGTTTTAGATAATGTTCCAATCGTTCGGTCCCCGCCAAGGCCCGATGCACGGCCTGCCGATCTCCACGCCGTACGTCACCAAAGACTATCTGCAGCAGAAGAGGTTCTTGGTAAGCATATATTAGTTAAATTAATAAGGTAGAAAGTAAAAATAAAAAAAACAACAGTTTATTCGCACCAAAAATAAAATAAAATCAAATAGTTTTTTATTTGAGTTACATATTTATTTATTTATTTATTACTTACATCAAAATTGGTTGCCTGTAAAGTCGGTATACGGGCGAAAGTTTTACGTGACAACGACTTTGAGTGGTAAAATGTTATGTCTGTCTCTCTCGCTCTTAGGCGGGCTAACCATGCGCGAGTGGAAGGGACGCGTGCCTCTCACTCGCTCTCATTGTGAGCGCATAACGTGAGCGGAGCGTAACGCGGTTTCTTGAAGTGTCACCCGGCAAACCAATTTATAAGACGTTGTCACGTCAAAATGAAAGTTTACAGCCAAGTTACAGCCAAAATACTTACATTCTATGATACAAAAAAGAAACTTAAACCTAATCTTTTAATTATAATTTCATTAATGATGTGCTTAACGTCCTTGAAAGGAACAACGGGGTTTTTGTTACATATTGTGTAACATTTTTGAACGAGGAAATAATTAATTGAAATGTACAATTTACTCACGTGAACTATATGAAATAATTTTTTTTTTCACTGTATGTAGGTATCTATTTTGTAAACAACTTAAACTGTCAAACACCAAGCGGTCACCGGTGACCGCAACCTATTATTCTTTAATTGTGTCTATAAATACGGTACTCGACGAGTTAAAATATAAAAAAAATAATTAAGCATTGCCATTCAACGTGGCAATGCTGCCAGTCTTTTGGGCACCCTACGTCATGGTAGTGATGAGGAAAATGTTTTCTTTAATGCCTAATGATTTTTTTTTAAGGTGTAAACATTTTAGTTTAAAATTATTTTTTTTACGTTAATTTGTTCACAAAATAGATACCTAAATAATTAATTGAAATGTACAGTTCGCACACGAGAACTATACGAAAATAATTAATTGAAATGTACAGTTTGCACACGAGAACTATACGAAAATAATTAATTGATATGTACAGTTCGCACACGAGAACTATACGAAAATAATTAATTGAAATGTACAGTTCGCACACGAGAACTATACGAAAATAATTAATTGAAATGTACAGTTCGCACACGAGAACTATACGAAAATAATTAATTGATATGTACAGTTCGCACACGAGAACTATACGAAAATAATTAATTGAAATGTACAGTTCGCACACGAGAACTATACGAAAATAATTAATTGAAATGTACAGTTCGCACACGAGAACTATACGAAAAATACTCAACTACTTTCTTTTATTTTTGTTGCCTGTTTTTAATATGTATCATTATAGTTATTGTACAACAATATAATATATGAAGTCATGAAAATGTCGACGGTGAGCGAGGGGTATCGGATTTGATTTCTGGGCTGGTGAAAAGTTTTTTTGGAAGCATTTTCTATCGTAAATAACTAGCAAGAGTTTCTACGAATTTTCAATTCTTTACTTGAATTTGTTACAAAAATTAAATAGATGTGTTTATGCTAGGAGCAGATTACTCTTGACGTATTATTTTTGTCTACCATGGTGTGACATTGACATAACATCACGCCTTTTATCCCCGAAGGGGTAGGCAGAGGTGCCCATTATACCACTGTACAATGTAACACCCACTTTTCACTATTTATGTTATGAGTCCCATGTAATAGGGGGTGAGTCTATTGCCATATACCGGGCACAATTCCAGATTCCGTGCTACTGCTCAGAATTTTTTAAAAACCCAGTTATACTTTGCCCGACTCGGGAATCGAACCCGAGACCCCTTGCCTGGCAGTTGCACTTGCGACCATGGTGTGAATACGTAATCACGTAAAATCATAAAATCTTATGATTTTAGTAAAATACAATAATGTTTATTCCCCCAGGCAACGTCACAAGGCACGACATACGTGTACGACATCCCCGACATGTTCCGGCAGATGATAGAGCGGAGGTGGAGGGAGTGTATTGAGGAAGGCAGCGTCGATGGTGAGTTACTCGTTTAGTATGCCACCTCCACTTTTCTACTGGGTGAATTACCAACTAATGGCGTCATATTTTCACGTCAAATAAATTGAAAATTAAATACATCGTCAAATCAATGAATGAAATTGTTATTGTTTTTGAATACTTAATTTTATTGAAAAATCATTTATATTTCACCCAGGAAACTACATAATTTACTAAACTGTAACATTATAGGCCTCATAACACAACTGGCAGAAACATAACAAAACATCACGCCTTTTATATATCCCCGAACCATTAAGCAGGGGTGCATATTACTACATTAAGGCACTTAATGCCACTGTGCAATGTAACACCCACTTTTCACTATTTATTTTATGAGTCCCATGTCATTAGGGGTGATTATGCCATATACTATACAATTCCAGATTCTGAGCGACTACTGAGTTTTTTTTTTAAACTCAGTAATACTTTGCCCGATCCGGGAATCGACCACTCGGCCAACGAGGCAGTCAGTACAATATAACAATACAGATATAATAATATATATATTGTATCACCACAGGCCCGCCCCCAGACAACGTGATGAACTCAGTAGAGTTGGTGATTGAACCGGACGGGGAGAGACGGGTGGTGGAAGTCACCAGGCTGCCCGGACAGAATAATGTAAGTGTAATCAAAGTCATAGTCAAAAACATTTTATTTAATTAGACAAGTAAGACACTTTTGAACGTCAACATAATATTAAAAGTGAAGCTATTTGCTCATTCCAAGGTGTAGATTCTACACTAATATCTATATAACGTTAACTAGACTCCACTGACAAACGGTGAAGGAAAACATCGTGAGGAAACCTGGGCTTATCTTTATAAATATAATTCTTCTGTGAGTGTGTATGTCACTGAACTTCTCTCAAACGACTGGACCGATTTTTATGAATTTTTTTGTGTGTGTTCAAGGGGATCTGGGAATGGTATAGATTCACAAATCAGCCCGGCAGATGGCGCTGCAGTCGATGTTTAGGTTATTTATCCTAAGCAGCTGAACTAATTTGTATGAATTTTGTTTATACATTCAAGTGTATATGCAGGACAACGGCTGTTGGGTCCGCTAGTATACTATATAAAAATAAGTCGGGTTTTCCTTCCTGACGCTATAACTCCAGAACTCACGAACCGATTTCCACGGTTTTGCATTTGTTGGAAAGGTCTCGGGCTCCGTGAGGCTTATAGCAAAGAAAAGTCACTTTTAATCACCAAACGAAATGTTACATAAAACGAAGCCATCTGGTGGCGAAACGGAGTTCGCCGGGTTTCCTATTAATTTCTAATTATACGGTTGAAATCGCCAACTCGCATTGTGCAAGCATGGCGATTAATGCTCAAACCTTCTCCGTGTGAGAAGAGGCATTTGGTCAGCAGTGGGCATTTATAGGCTGTTGATGATGATGATGATGAAACATGATGTCTAGGATCAAAATTAATGAAACTATCTTTTATCCAGGTCGGTATGGTAGCGTGGCGTTTAACCCTATACACGCCGGAATGCCCTGACGGCAGAGATATCATCCTCATTGCGAACGACCTGACTTACTATATGGGGTCGTTTGGACCCCAAGAAGACTGGGTGTATTACAAGGCATCAGCGTATGCTAGAGAATTGAAAATACCCAGGGTAAGTTTTTATTCTATTTGTTTGTAGGAAATTGGTGTATTTAGTTTTGACCGCCTCGTTGGCCGAGTGATCGCAAGTGCGCCTGCAAGGGGTCTCGGGTTCGATTCCAGAGTCAGGCAAATTATTACTTGGTTTTTGAAAAATTCTCATTAGTAGCATAGAGCCTGGAAATGTGCCCGGTATACGGTAATAGGCTCACCCCCTATTACATGGGACTCATAACATTAAAAAAGTGGGTGTTACATTGTCCAGTGGCATTAAGTGCCGTAATGCGCACCCCCTGCCTAACCATTCGGGAGTAAAAAGGCGTGATGTTATGTTATGAAGAAGAAAAAACGCTAGTGACTGCGTTTCTATGGTTCCGAATATAATTCAATTATATTCACATATTCTTAATACTGTTTGAAATTCTCACAGAATACCGACCTAAAACAACGTTGTGTTGTTTTTCGTCGTATGAGTGAGGTTACCGGAAGCCCAATCCCCCCCCCCCCCTCCCAATCCTTGTATCCCCAACAATCCTCAAATTCCTAATCCTAAAAGGGCGGTAAAGCACTTGTAACGCCTCTGGCGTTCCTGGTTATGGGCGACGGCGATTGCTTACCACCAGGTGATCCGTTTGCTCGTTTACCGGCTTATGCCATAAAAAAAACGTAAAGTAATTTCACATAATGTAATATTTACCCTAAAAAAAATAATTTTTAACAGGTATACGTAAGCGTGAACTCAGGTGCCCGTATAGGAGTCGCCGAAGAAGTCAAATCTGAGTTCAACGTGGCCTGGATAGACTCGGAACGTCCAGATAGGGGTTTCAAATACCTCTACTTGACACCAGAGTCGTACTCCAAGCTGGGTCCCCTGGGGTCTGTGAAGACGACCCTCATTGAGGATGAAGGAGAGTCCAGATATAAGATCACTGATATTATTGGTGAGTTAGTGTTTTTGCAATAGGGTACTTTCCTAAATTTTATTTTAATGTCCGTCTGGTACATTAATTTAACCCCTCGAGCGTCCTTATGAGCACCCGGTGGATCATAAGAAAAAATGCTCCATGCTGCTTTCTCTTGTATAAAATCTATTATTGTTTTGTTTTTATTTTGACTGTATTTGTTTTGTTTATATTGTAATGATCCTTGTTTTCGTGTGCCAATGGCCAAATAAATGCATTTTCTTTCTTTCTTTCTTCAAATGTCACGTGTTCACCCGTTGGATCATAAGGAACGCGGACGCTCGACGGGTTAAAACTTTAGACACGTATTTTTTCTTTCCTCACAAAATTCAATACTTTCAACGATATATTCATTTGAAACATCATGTGACGTCACAGCGTGCTACATTTTACAGCACGTTGTGACGTAACGACCTGATTCTGCCATTTGGGGTCATTATTTCGCAAAGTTTTTCGTCCCGTTAGATAGTTAGCCTTCGAATATTCGCAAGCGCAGCTGCCCAGAAATAAGTTTCAAAGTCGATTCTCAGTACCTTTAGCCAAACGCCACTTTAGCGCTTGTCTACAGAGAGAGTAGAAAAGTAAATGTATGGGGATGACATAGACAAGTGTCAAAATTTACGTCAATTCCATATAATTTGATTTTCTATTCTACATGTAGACAAGCGGTAAACGGCTTTTGGCTACAGCTGCAGGTCTGGTAAGTGTTTCTTGAGAATTTATCGGGATTTCAAGAATCCTGTTCAGTAGTATGTAGCTTGGATTTACTTGCTACGTCCAGAAGAGGGGTTTCTGGTGGCTCTACTTGACCCCATAGTCCTACTGTAAGCAGGGTCCCTGGGTTCTGTGAAGACGACCACGACCCTCATTGAGGATGAGGGAGAGTCTAGATGTAAAATTAAAGCTATTAACCCATTGAGTACCGTCATTATAGACACAATTAAAGAACAATAGGTGGCGGTCACCGGTGTCCTCGCGGTGTTTGACAGTTTAAACAGTTATTTAAAAAAAACATGCCCCCCATTAGGATTTCCTCCTGTGTCGTGGGTGCGTTTACAAACATACAAGTTCACATACACCCAGACCCGAAACAACAATTTGTGGATCATACAAAGTGTTGTTCCGTGCGGGAATCGAAACCGCGATACGTCACACGGCAGCCGGTTACCCAGCCACCGCACCAACCGAGCAGTCCTTATTGAACCTTACTAAATAAAACCTTTTTCTCCAACAGGCAAAGAAGACGGTCTAGGTGTGGAATGTCTCCGCGACGCCGGTCTGATAGCCGGGGAAACTGCGCAGGCGTATGAGGATATAGTCACTATATCTATTGTCACGTGTCGAGCCATTGGCATCGGGTCTTATGTCGTACGGTGAGTTTACCCACCCCACAAAATTAAAACAAAGATTCTGTATATATGTGGATTACAAGTATGTGTTGCTCTCGTCCGTGCGTCACTGCAGGGGTGCCAACTGAAAATCAGTGTTGGGTGCTCATTGTGCCGCTTTATGCTGAGTTGGTGACCCGTTCGGATTGGACATGTCCGCCAACACCGCGCACCTGAATTATTGGCTTATTTTAGTTTTATAATTTGCTTTTATCTTTTAATTTTTCTGTTTTTATACTTTTTTATATTTAAGTATATGTCTTTTCTGGCGTGCATGTCTTATGCCGAATAAACTTATTTCATTTCATTTCAGTTATATTTTTAACTACCTCCTGCCAGCGGCTTTGCCCGCGTTTCCGTAGCATAGAAAGTAGCCTATATGGTATTCCAGACCATGCTCTACCTCAGTTCTAAATACCGATCCCTTCAGTCGTTTTGACTTGAAGAAGTAATAACAAACGAACTTTTGTATTTACAATATTCATCATCATCATCAACAGCCTATAAATGCCCACTGCTGAGCAAAGTCTCTTCTCACACGGAGCAGGTTTGAGCATTAATCACCACGCTTGCTCAATGCGGGTTGGCGATTACAAACTTGTAATTAGAAATTATAAGTCCAGCAGCTGTAGCCAAATGCCATTTAGCGCTTGTCTACATGTAGAATAGAAAACCAAATTATATGGAATTGACGTAAATTTTGACACTTGTCAGTGTCATCCCCATACATTTTGATTTCTACTCTCACTGTAGACAAGCGCTAAAATGGCTTTTGGCTAGAGGCCCTGGTTTCCTCACGATATTTTCCTTCACCGTTTGTCAGTGGTGTCTTGATAATCTTAGAAAGTACATATAACTCGGAAAAAGTCACATTGGTACTTGCCGTTGGTAGGTTCCAAACCCACACCTTCATGCATGAGAAGCGGGCCTCTTAAACCTGCGGGCTACCACGACATGGACAGTGGGGAATGTAAAGTGTGAATAAAAAAATTAATAAAATAATGCTTATTTTTTTTCAGACTGGGCCACCGAGTAATCCAAGTGGAATCATCATACATCATTCTCACCGGCTACGTGGCTTTGAACAAGGTGCTGGGCAGGCCAGTCTACGCTAGCAACAACCAGCTGGGAGGCCAGCAGGTCATGCACCATAACGGAGTCTCGCATGCAGTAGCCCCCACTGACCTGGAAGCTGTTAGAACTGCGCTGAGATGGCTGTCGTTTGTGCCTAAGGTGAGTTGGGGTCAAAATTGGTGTCATTAATTTGGGACCAAAGTTGAGATATTATCTTCTGCAATATAGAGTTATTTGAGATATTATCTTCTGCAATATAGGGGAAGCATTTTTTGTGTCTAAGGTTAGTTGGGGTCAAAATTTGGTGTCATTAATTTGGGGCCAAAGTTGAGATATTATCTTCTGCAATATAGAGTTGGTTGAGATATTATCTTCTGCAATATAGGGGAAGCATTTTTTGTGTCTAAGGTTAGTTGGGGTCAAAATTTGGTGTCATTAATTTGGGGCCAAAGTTGAGATATTATCTTCTGCAATATAGAGTTGGTTGAGATATTATCTTCTGCAATACAGGGGAGGCATTTTTCGTGTCTAAGGTGAGTTGGGGTCAAAATTTGGTGTCATTAATTTGGGGCCAAAGTTGAGATATTGTCTTCTGCAATATAGAGTTGGTTGAGATATTATCTTCTGCAATATAGGGGAAGCATTTTTCGTGTCTAAGGTGAGTTGGGGTCAAAATTTGGTGTCATTAATTTGGGGCCAAAGTTGAGATATTATCTTCTGCAATACAGGGGAGGCATTTTTCGTGTCTAAGGTGAGTTGGGGTCAAAATTTGGTGTCAATAATTTGGGGCCAAAGTTGAGATATTGTTTTTGCAATATAGAGGAGGCATTTTTCGTGTCTAAGGTGAGTTGGGGTCAAAATTTAGTGTCTTTAATTTGAGGTCAAAGTTGGGATATTGCATTATGGATATGCAATATTAGGGAGGCATTTGTCGTGCCTAGGGTTAATTGGGGTTATTTGTTTGTGGTCGAAGTTAGAATTCAGATTAACTAAAATAATTCAAATTTGTCTTCCCCAGGACAAAATGAGTCTAGTCCCCATAATGCGTCCGGCGGACCCCATCGACCGGCCCGTGGAGTGGGTCCCGCCCCGCGCCGCGCACGACCCGCGCCTCATGCTGGCGGGCGACGCGGCCCGCGCTGGGTTCTTCGATGCAGGCTCCTGGGACGAGGTCATGCAGCCTTGGGCGCAGACTGTCATCACTGGTAAGGGTCGATCGATTGATGTCGATGATGAATTTATTTTTGTGAAATTTTATCCCAAAGTAGCACAGGCTACTTTATTTTGAATCAAACACAACAACAGTCGTGATGGACCGGAGGCCAAGACGCCCGGTTCTCATGCATGAGAGTGCGGGTTCTAAACCTACCAACGGCAAGTACCAATGTGACTTTTTCGAGTTATATGTACTTTCTAAGATTATTTAGATACCACTGACAAACGGTGAAGGAAAACATCGTGAGGAAACCTGGGCTTATAATTTCAAATTATAAGTTTGAAATTGCCGTATTTAGTAAGCGTGGTGTTTAATTTACCTTCTCCGTGTGAGAAGAGGTTTTGCTCAGCAGTGGGCATTTATAGACTGTTGATGATGATGATGATAATCAACGATGTCGAAAACAGCTCTTAAGAATTTTCGGTTATTGTATTTAGACGGTTTTGGGAGCGATAAATCGATTTACCAAAGCTTCATTTTTGAAAAAATTCGTTTATAAAAACAAAATCAAAAGCAATCTTAGTAGCTCTATCATCTAGGTACTGAAATATGTATGGTATGTGGCATTCTCTTATAAGGGGCCGTTCAAGTATTACGTAAGCACCATGGGGGGGTCTCTGTTTTGCATATTTCGGATGACATGGGGGGTAGGGGAGTCTAGATGATGATTACGTCATCGGTAGTTATTTACTTTTTTACACGAATGGCAACCCTCATATTGAAATTATAAATTAAAAGCAAAGACCGACAAAGAACGAGACATTATGGTATTTGGAGAATATTAAAATTACAATATAAATAAGATATAATTTAAAATGTTTACGTAAGCAAAGGGGGAGGGGGTAAGATCTTTGCTTACTTTTGCTGACGAGGGGGGTGGGGGTGGGGGGGGGGTAAATCATTGTAAAAAATCTGTTTACGTAATATTTGAACGGTCCCTAAGGACATCACCATATAAGAGACTAAAAGCCGCCCACTAATAACGCTTTATTAATCACTCCCCAGGTCGCGCCCGTCTCGGCGGTATCCCAGTAGGAGTGGTGGCGGTGGAGACGAGGACAGTGGAACTGACCCTCCCTGCTGACCCCGCCAACCTGGACTCTGAGGCTAAGACGCTGCAACAGGCTGGACAGGTATAATTAATTACAATAGTGTATACTTTTTTAATGGGATTAGAAAGTAAACGAGCAGGCGGATCACCTGATGGTAAGCAATCGGCGTCGCCCATGAACACGTGGAAAACTAGAGGCGTTACAAGTGCGTCACCGGCCTTTTGGGGATTAGAAATTTGAGGATTGGTGTGGAAAAAGGGATTAGGGAGATTGGGGAAGGGGGTTATTGGGCCTCCGGTAACCTCACTCACACTACGTGAAACACCGCTGTGTATCAGTCCGGTGTCTAGCTCGTCGGTATGACTCCGGTGGAGCCGGTACAGCAGTGTCGAAGCATGGCGAGCCTACACTTAAAACTTTCCACACTTTCTAAAACAACAGTCTTGTTTCCAAATATTCAAATTGGACAATATTTTTCTATTTTCCAATATCTACTCTGTAATTATTTAACAAACAAAACAAAAATTCTGTATAGAATATAACTGAGACTTCTCCCTGACCACTCGCCCTTACAATAATCGGAATTGGGTAATTTCCTTAATCAAAAATTAATTATTTCGACTGTTTAATACAAAAATATATTAAAAAATAATCACACTTTCATTAATTGATTTTATGATCAACTTAATTTTAGTATTTATCCATCAAATTTTTAAGAAATAAGTACGTAAGTGCTGTTTGAAGCTAAAAAAACGTGACGTCACAATACGCAATCTGTATAAAATTTATAGAAAACTGTCGTTTTCAACCGACTTCAAAAAAAGGAGGAGGTTCTCAATTTGACTGTATTTGCCACAAACCCGCATCAAAATATATCTTAGGTAATGGTCACAGGTATAATCCATAATGAAATTGTAAACAGCTTAATGATGTTAGGTATCTATTAAGGTTTTAATGAATAATTTTATGTAAGACTTGTGGCACCGACTTCTCCCCTATCAGTGGGTGTGTAAGCTATATGTAAGTACGTATGACCAATAATGGTTATTTTTTGCTTTTTAGTTTTTACTTTTCGTTTGTTTTTTAGTTTTTGAAGTCGGTTTTTTTAAACGGAGTTTTTATTCTTATTGACAGTTCGAAAAAAATATTAAATTTAACTAGTTGACAAGTACTCAATTCTCCCTGACCACTCGATCTTACAATCATTGGAACAATAAAGCACAATTAATGACAAACATTCCTTAAATGTGTATATATATATAATTATTTATTTATTTCGTTATTTCCTCGCAGGTTTGGTTCCCGGACTCTGCGTATAAGACGGCGCAGGCTATCAACGACTTCTCCCGCGAGGGCCTACCTATTATGATCTTCGCTAACTGGAGAGGTTTCAGCGGGGGACAGAAAGGTAAGCTATTCTTCTATACTCGGAATTTTAATTCGATTCCAGATTTGACAATTTCAGTGTTTGAATTTTATGACAAGTACTAAATAGTGACGTTGCGAAATTATTCGATATGGAAATGAAATATTTCTGGATCGATTCTCTTCGTTTATAATCTTACTCTCGTAAACTAAGTTTATCAGGAAATTAAATATTTTCTGATCGATAATTTAGTTTTGACGATTAATTAACGATCTGAAACTTTTCTTTTATAATTGTGTGTGAAATAAATAAAAAAATATAACCATGAAGGAACATGACAAATAAAACAGATAGATGTATTATGGTGATAATTTATTTTATAAATTGTCGCCGTCATCGCTATCACTTTCTGTACATTTATTATAAAACACACACACTGATTGTTTATCGATTTTTGTGTTCATCACTACACTATTATATGTGGTATCATTATTTCGCAAAATGACAGTAGCCAATGTCAAATCTGGAATCGAATTAAAATTCTGACTATAGATGTTTTACTGCCATATAAATTGTAGTTAGAAAATATAAAGATTAAAATGAAGGACGTTGAAGAAAATGCAGTCTCTTGAAACATATACTGTGGCGCCTGGCTCCTATAGACTTACACGCAGAATACACACACATTGACACGAAGGACATCTTTCATTTTCGTAAGTCTAGTAACGTGGTAACTCATTACACACGCGCACAGAATATTTCTACTGAAATGGTGCTTCAATCATAAGTAAAGGACATTATGTCCACCTATTATTTAACAATTTCAATCAAGGACTGATTGAAATTGAACCACCATTTGAAGGAAATGAACTTATTTATAAAAAGATTTAACTTTCTTAGAACGGTTTTAAAATGTTTTTATTTTCGACTAGCTTCTGCCCGCGACTTCGTACGCGCACTCCCGTTTCTTTCCGTTCCCGTTCGTTATATTATTTTCGGTAAAAAGAAAAAAAAATGGATAAAATGTATCCTATGTGCGTCTCCTTGTTCTAATCTACCTCCCCACCAATTTTCATCTAAATTTATTTAGCCGTTCTTGAGTTATAAATAGTGTACTTATACGACTTTATTTGTATACTAGCTACTTCCGCGCGGTTTCACACGCTCTGCTCAGCTCCTATTGGTCGTAGCGTGATGTTTTATAGCCTATAGCCATCCTCGATAAATGCGCTATCCAACACAAAAATAATTATTCAAATCAGACTTGTAGTTACGGAGATTAGCGCGTTCAAACAAAGAAACAAAAAAAAAAACAAACTCATCCGCTTTATATTATAGTATAAGTTAAGATAATGTTACATTGTTCTCGCACAATCCAAACAGCAAAACTATGTAACTAGTAAATTGTATTGTGAACCTGATTGATAAAGAGTAACCTATGGAGTTTCTTGCTCGTTCTTCTCCATAGGAATCTACACCTTGGAATGAGCAAAATATAGCTTCACTTTTAATTTTCTTTTGTTGACGTTCAAAAACGCCATTCTGACCTAATTGAAATAAATGACTTTGACTTTGACTTTAATATAGATTTATTTTTTGTCGACAGACATGTACGAACAGATCTTAAAGTTCGGCGCCGAGATAGTCCGCGCGCTGCGCGGCGCGACGGCGCCGGTGCTGGTGTACATCCCGCCCGGCGCCGAGCTGCGCGGCGGGGCCTGGGCCGTCGTCGACCCCTCCGTCAACAACCTGCGCATGGAGATGTACGCCGACCCAGAGGCTAGGTCAGTACGACATGGGATTACACACCGATACTCTTCACCTGGGTCTCGTATAGCCCGTATTGCAATATCCACAGGTTTTTCATTTTTATGGTAATCGAGCAGATGGATCTCCTGATGGTAAGCAATCGGCGTCGCCCATGGACACCTGGAACACCAGAGGCGTTACAAGAAATGGAATAGAGTAGTTTCCTAAATTTTATTTTAATGTCCGTCTGGTACATTAATTTAAAACTTTAGACACGTATTTTTTCTTTTCTCACAAAATTAAATACTTTTAACGATATATATTCATTTGAAATATCGTGTGACGTCACAGCGTGCCACGATTTCTAGCACGTTATGACGTAACAACCTCCCATTCCTAAACTTAGCGCCATTTTATCTAAGTATTACAACTTAATACGAGAAAATAAAAAATACGTGTCTAATATTTTTTCATTATCTAACTGACGGACTAATTAAATTTTTAATTTTGGTACCCTGGAAACTACCTAATTCTTTCCCGGAATATATTTTCTAAAGGATAAAACCTGGTTGTCTTGACTTGAATATGCTGCTTATGTAGGCGTGCTCCATCGTAGGACGCATCATTTACACCATCAGGCGAGATACTGACGAAACTTAGACCTGTTTTGATAAATAAGAAACTAATGTTTACTTATATTATAACTTTCGTGAGACATACTGAATAAATTATTATGTTCTCGGCTTACTCACGTAACCGTTTGACGAGAAACTCGACTAGTTTCAAGCCATGCTAGAGGCTCATATTCATGAGCAGCATTTCAGAAATAAGCCGTCTCGTCCGAGCTTTAACAGAGACTGTGGCTGGGCATTACCACCTGCCTGGAAGCCGAGTCTAAAATCTGCGTCAGACTACAGTGTTGCGGGTCTGGAGTGTGACACAGCGAGCACGGTATGTAACACTGGTTTTGCGTCGACCTGGGATTCGAACCCAACAACACCAACGCAGCTGCCGGCGGGCGAGTCTAGCGTGCCAACAGTGCCAAGCGTGCCAACAGTGCCAAGCGCGCCGCCGTCGCCGATACCACGAGTGGAAGAAAGTGCGCGTGAATCACGGCAGAGGGCGCGCGCGGCAGACTCGAGTAGCCAGTAGCAGCGACAGTCGCCGCGTCGCGGGTCGCGGAATGCTGCTCATGAATACGAGCCTCTAGCATGGCTTGGAACTAGTCGAGTTCTTCGTCAAATTATTACGTGAGTAAGCCGAAAACCTAATAAATTAATGTTAACTTTATATTCCACAGAGGAGGTGTCCTGGAAGCGGAAGCTATAGTTGAAGTGAAGTTCAAGCAGCGAGATATATTGAAGACCATGCACCGACTCGACCCGGAGCTGCAGAGAGTCGGGGCTAGGATCTCAGGTATGTACTTAGCATATTATATTTTTATTGCTGTTTCCACGTGATTTCTCTTTACTCGGCGCCTATTGGTCATAACGTGATGTTTTATAGCCTATAGCCTTCCTCGATAAATGGACTATCCAATACAAAAATAATGACTAAAATCGGACTAGTCGTTACTGAGATTAGCGCGTTCAAACAAACAAACAAGTATATAAACAAAATCGATTTTGCCAATTGGGTACTTACCTTAATCAAAAATAAATTATTTCGACTGTTCAATACAATGAAATATTAAAAAATAATCACAAAAATTGATTTTGTGATCAACCTAATTTTTAGTATTTTGCCAGTAATATATATTAGCAATACACGATCTCGTATAAAATTCATAGAAAACTCTCGTTTTTGACAGTTCGAAAAAAGTATTGAATTTGACTAGTTGGCAAGTACCCATGAAATAATCGTGCACAAACGAACATACATACATATTACACGGAGAACCTAATTGTCTTCTTTTTGAAGTCAGTTGGTTAAAATGGTTAAGGTTTGTCCAGAAAACTAGCATCTACACTGAGTCAGAACTTAACTGCCATCAAGCTACATAACATCACGCCTTTTATCCCCGAAGGGGTAGGCAGAGGTGCACATTATGCCACTGTACAATGTAACACCCACTTTTCACTATTTATGTAATAGGGGGTGAGCCTATTGCCATATACCGGACACAATTCCAGCCTCCGTGCTATTACTGAGAATTTGTAAAATACACAGTAGTACTTTGCCCGACCCGGGAATCGAACCCGAGACCCCTTTGCCCGGCAGTCGCACTTGCGTTGCGAACAACTTGTATGAATATAAACACAACTGACCAATTTCTATCTTGTTACAGAGCTGAAAGAACAAATCAAGGAGATATCAAAGGGCTTGGACCGCAGAGGATCCGTCGACGAGAGCCTCATCAGGACTGACGCTGGACGCGCTGGTAAATATCACTTACTTTCATATATTTCATATAGATAAGCCGTGTGGTATGCGAGCTAGGGAGGAGGCGGGGTGCGGGAATATCTCCGGCCACCGTAAGCACGGGCATGGGTAGCTCGCTGACCGACTAGAACCAGACCCGAGACTACGGCTAGCTTGGGTAGCTCGCCACTCAACCATAACCAGTACATGCGTACGGCGAGCATGGGTAGCTCGCCACCCGACTAGAACCAGAACCTGCTTACGGCGAGCATGAGTAGCTCGCCGCTCGACCAGAACAAAACCCGAGCTTACGGCGCTGAGCGTTTCGCGCGACACAAAGAGCCATAAGACCACCACTGATGGGGTCCAATAGGGCTGATGCCGATATCCGTATCGGCGCGGAGAACCTAACGGGTAACCGGGGCTCCGGCTCGACGTGCAGAAGAAGGAACGGGGTGGTTTTTAGTCAGTAAGAGTCTGACACTCCCTCCCGCCTCACCCAGGCGGGAGCAGTCATTCGATGATTTTCCGCTCTTAAAAAAAAGCTGTATGTTGGCGGTGGCATTGCATTTGTCAACATCCTTATTCTTCCCGTATGAGATACCCAACGAGATGAATGAATTTTCTTAAACATTTAGAATGTCGTGTGTATTCTTATTTAAATTCACTTGACTCCAGAATAGTTCGTGTGTTCAATGAAAATCCAAAATGAAATAGGTAAAACTTAGTGTTTATATTGTTCTAAGAAATACACAATTCATAACTAATCTATAATATTACAAAATATTACTGGTTAACACCAAAGCTGCAGCTCGACTGCACGGTTGGTGCGGTGGCTGGGCAACCGGCTGCCGTGCAACGTGTCGCGGGTTCGATTCCCGCACGGAACAAGACTTTGTGTGATCCACAAATTGTTGTTTCGGGTCTGGGTGTTATTGTGTATGTGAACTTGTATGTTTGTAAACGCACCCACGACACAGGAGAAAATCCTAATGTGGGGCAACGTTTTTTTTTAAAAAAAGAAAGAAAGAAAGCTGGGAGACGACTGGCGTGCTAACGCTTTAGGGTTGCAGGCGTAGCTACGTACTTGAGAACACATAAAAAATGTCAACACATTAGTGTCGCCACAAACAGATAAAGGCTTTAATTTATTAAACTCGTTACAGCGGAGACTCGCGTCCGTGAACTAGAAACGGAACTACTAGCCGCTGAGAAAACTGCGAAGGCGCGTGAAAAGGAACTCAGTCCCATTTACCACCAGGTATGTGAAACATATATTTGTTGAAATCATAAAAAACTACAGTAAGTAAAATCTACAGTATTATTATTATTATTTTTTACTACAAGTAAAGTTAATGTTGTAAAGAAAGTGTATTATACATATATAGTACTAGCAAACCCGGCGAATTCCATTTCGCCACCAAATGGCTACGTTTTATGTAACATTTCGTTTGGTGATTAAAAGATAAAGAAAAAAAATACTCTTTTTCTTGAATTTGCTTTGCTATAAACCTCACGGAGCCCGAGACCCTTCCAACGAATGCAAAGCCGTGGAAATCGGTTCGTGCGTTCTGGAGTTATAGCGTCAGGAAGGAAAACCCGACTTATTTTTATATAGTAGATTAACTTTTATAGTAGTAAGTAGTTGTAAGAGTAGGTTTTGAACCAGGGTGTGGCATCGTGAATTTGTTTATTTATTTATTTATTGTCTATTTCTTTTGCTTACAGATCGCGGTACAATTCGCCGAACTACACGACACAGCCGAAAGAATGTTGGAGAAAGGATGCATATTTGTAAGTATATTGATGTAAAAACTGTGACTGCCTCGTTGGCCGAGTGGTCGCAAGTGCGACTGGCCGGCCAAGGGGTCTCGGGTTCGATTCGCGGGTCGGGCAAAGTATTACTGGGTTTTAAAAAAAATCTTAGTGGTACCACGGCGTCTGAAATTGCTCACCCCCTATTACATGGGACTCATAACATGAATAATAAAAAATGGGTGTTATGTTATTCAGTGGCGTAGATAATGTGTACCTCTGTCTACCCTTTCGGGGATAAAAGGCGTTATGTATTGTATTTGTATTTGCAACTATTTATAGAAAATTTATTATTTATAGTTAACTGAACGGAACTGTCAGTATAGTTCGTTGAAATGTGGGTGTTTGTACCTCTGTCTATTCCTTCGCGGATAAAAATTTGAAAAGATGCAGTGTAGGGCGACGTAGTTAGTTGTCGGTGTTCAATGTTTAGGAAGAGAAATCAATGTTTATGTGGATCACAGTGTTTATTATTAGTTTTCACGAATATTCTTAATGTTAACTAATCTAGAATGCAATGTTTAAATGTTTGAATGCACCCGGTTGTCGCGGTAGCCGAAAGTGCACTGAATATATTGTAAAACAAATTCACTTAGAACGGCGATTCACGCCGATATTGCTGAATACAATGTTCGATGAAAACCTCGAACATGCAGCGTTACCAAATTTCTTACACAAATGAAAACACACACAATGATTGACCTGTTCACCCCCCTCCCCCAGGACATAATCCCGTGGCGGGAGTCTCGGCGCCTGCTGTACTGGCGCCTGAAGCGGCTGCTGCGGCAGAACGAGCAGGAGCGGCGCGTGCAGCACGCCGTGCGGCCCGCGGACTGCATGCAGCAGGGGCCCGCCGCCGCCACGCTGCGCCGCTGGTTCACGGAGGACCGCGGGGAGACGCAGGTACCCACCGCTACGAGGAACGACAAACAAAAACCATTTATTCTTTCGCAGAACACACATCATCATCATCAACAGCCTATAAATGCCCACTGCTGAGCAAAGCCTCTTCTCACACGGAGAAGATTAGAGCATTAATCACCACGCTTGCTCAATGCGGGTTGGCGATCTCAAACTTATAATTAGAAATTATAAGCCCAGGTTTCCTCACGATGTTTTTCCTTCACCGTTTGTCAGTGGTGTCTAAATAATCTTAGAAAGTACATATAACTCGGAAAAAGTCACATTGGTACTTGCCGTTGGTAGGTTTCGAACCCGCACCCTCATGCATGAGAAGTGGGCGTCTTAAACCTCCGGGCCACCACGACACACGAACACACATAACATAGCTAAAAACTACAAAAAATAAAATATAATATAATATAAAGCGAGGGTAAACCAAGGTATCGTAGAAATAATAGAGATATACGTATAAATTGAAAATACCAAGGTTCAAGAAAAATAAACACTGATAGGCTTATAATTTTTAATTATAAGTTTGAAATCACCAACCAACATTAAGCTAGCGTAGTGATTAAGCGTTAGGTCACCCGACCTTCTATAATATTCGCTCGCTCGCACATTGCTCAAGGAAGGAGCGAGGGACCTCGTCAACACCATCACTGTTAAGTATATCCTTAACTTTTGGGTCAGGGTGTGGCAATCAACAATGAATAGTTTTCTCTTTGGATAGTGAAATTTTATTTTATACCAGCTTCTGCCCGCGACTTTGTACGCGCAATCCCGTTTTCTCCCGTTCCCGTGGGATTTTTAGGATTGTTTCTGTCTTAAGAACCTTCTCCTGACAATAATCAACACAACAAAAAAAAATCAGCCAAATCGGTCTACCCGTTCTAAAGTTATGGCGTGACAATGGGAAAAGGATTTCATTTTTATACTAGCTTCTGCCAGCGGCTTCGCCCGCGATCCCAGGGGTAAAATGCCTATGTATCACTTCAGACCATAATCTACCTCTGTTCCGAATTTCATTCCGGTCCCTTCAGTCGTTTTAATATGACTGAGTAATAAACATACATAAAAATCAATATTTTCATTTATAATAGCGAATCTCAACCATTGGCGTTTCGGTTACAGCGTAAAGTCTATGAATGAGTATTGTAAACGTTAGAGTAGACAAATAGAGGTACAATCAGAAATCACCGAATTGCTAAGCTATCGGGAGATTCACGTGTTATTGTGAGTCAACCATAAAAGATAGACATATGCTGTCGAGGAATATTTTTTATATAATTTTAAGGAGAATATTTCCGTCGTACATGATTTCTATGTAGCTTTAAGCCTATAAGCCTGCACACGCGACGGAATCTTAAAAAATGGAGTAACTTCTCCCGTTTTCCCAATATTTCCCTTCACTGCTCTGCTCCTATTGATCGTAGCGTAATGAAAAGTATACTATAACCTGCCCAAGAGTATGAAGAATAATTGTGCCAAATTTCGTTAAAATCCGTCGAGTAGTTTTTGTTTCCATAACGAACATACAGACAGACAGACAGACAAAAATTTTACTGATTGCATTTTTGGCATCAGTGGCGATCCCTAACCACCCCTTGATAGTTATTTTTTAAATATATTTTATGTACAGAATTGACCTCTCTACAGATTTATTATAATTTTTATATAAATAGATAGACGAATCAAATTAAGTAGGGACAAATATAAATCAAGGTAAGTGGTAGCAATGGAGTCGAAGTAAAAGAAAAATGGGGAATGGCCTTCGTTTTCGTATAATTATATAGTTGTAAGCCGACGTCCTTCACCGCCATCTCTGGGTAAGCCGACTAACTGCGTAGCTTGAAGATTGTCAGGGTTGCGCTGGCACATCAGTCTTCAGTCGCTCGTTCAACGTTGCTCATAGATGGCGCTTTCCTCAACATTAACTTTGTTTTTTAGGTTTTTTATGATGTTATTTACTTCGTAAGGATCTACAGATTTGGGGAACATTATTTTCTATTTGACATACTACGGCGGTACCTTTTGGGTTATATCCATGTGGTGTGGTTGTTTTTTCAGCAATGGACATAAAAAAGTAATGTTAAAAACGTCAGCAACCTGTGAAATGAAGATTCATTGAAACCTACTTTTTTACCTCATCATCAACAGCCTATAAATGCCCACTGCTGAGCAAAGCCTCTTCTCACACGGAGAAGGTTTGAGCATTAATCACCACGCTTGCTCAATGCGGGTTGGCGATTACAAACTTATAATTAGAAATTATAAGCCCAGGTTTCCTCACGATGTTTTCCTTCACCGTTTGTCAGTGGTGTCTGAATAATCTTAGAAAGTAGATATAACTCGGAAAAAGTCACATTGGTACTTGCCGTTGGTAGGTTTCGAACCCGCACCCTCGTGCATGAGAAGCGGGCGTTTAAACCTCCGGGCCACCACGACATTACTTTTTTACCTATACATGTTTATTGTACTCGTCTCACCCCCTATTACATAGGATTCATAACATAAAATAAATAAATAGTGAAAAGTGGGTGTTCCATTGTACAGTGGCATTAAGTGCCGTAATGCGCACCTCTGCCTACCCCATCGGGGGTAAAAGGCGTGATGTTATGATGATGATGATGTCTATTGTGTCAAGTCATTAAATATGTCTTGTATATTATTTAAATATATCCAATCTATGTAGTGTTTACATTTTTTACCTACTTTTATTGAAATATGAAAACGATACGACTGCCGAGCAAGGGGTCTTGGGTTCGATACCCGGATTGAGCAAAATGATGCTGGTTTTTTTTTAAATCTCAGTAGTAGCACGGAGTCTGGAATTGTGCCCGGTATATGGCAATAGGCTCACTCCCTATTACATGGGACTCATAGCATAAATAGTGAAAAGTGGGTGTTACATTGTACAGTGGCATTAAGTGTCGTAATGCGCACCTTTGTCTACCCCTTCGGGGGTAAAAGGCGTAATGTTATATTATGATAATTATCTATAATTTCTTGGTATGATATCATTTGTTTTTGTAGTGTAGAGCAACATATTAAAAAAAAAATACAGTGTAAAACAATTTTTTTTGGAAATCAACAAAAAATGACAATGTTCTCGACTGCACGGTTGGTGCGGTGGCTGGTCAACCGGCTGCCGTGCAACGTGTCGCGGGTTCGATTCCCGCAAGGAACAACACTTTGTATGATCCACAAATTGTTGTTTTGGGTCTGGGTGTCATGTGTATGTGAACCTGTATGTTTGTAAACGTACACACGACACAGGAGATAATCCTAGTGTGTATCCGTTTTTACTTAAAAAAAAATCTAACAAAAAAATTTCGAACAGAGACAATGAATATGTTTCTGAAATAACGAGCTTTCAGTGGCAGTGGATAAAGTATTCTATTTTGTTCCAGTCCCACCAATGGGAGCACGACAACGAAGCTGTCTGCAAATGGCTGGAGGCCCAGGCCGGGGACGACAACTCCGTCCTGGAGCGGAACCTTCGAGCCATCCACCAGGACGCACTCATGCAGGCTGTTAATAATCTTGTATTGGTGAGTTGTTTACTCTTATTTATTTATTTACTAGCTTTTACCAGCGGCTTCGTTCGCGTCACAAAAGAATAAAAAGTAGCCTATGTGACATATACCAATACACACAGCGCCATCTATACCAATACTTTTGTTTTTCCTCGGGAATATCAATTTTTTCCGGGTTAAAAAGTACCCTATTATTTAATCCGGACTTCTAACTTTACGTTATCTTCTTTTACAGAAACTAACGCCGTCCCAGCGCGGCGAATTCATAAGGAAACTGTCCGCTCTAGAGATGGAACACTAAATATAATATATAGGTAAAGTTTAAATAAAATAGATCGAACAAATTGTCTAGGGTACATATTTATTTGTTGTCGGGGGCTTCTAGATGCATATACAAGTCTGATTTACTAAGGTCGACATACTGAAACCGCTATCGTGAGATATACTAAATTAAATAAAAATCGTGGATATACTGAGAAAAGCTCTACTAGTTTCGAACCACAGAGGGGTAGGAAGGACTTACTCTTCGACTTCTCATGAGGAAGGACCCCTCTGTGGTTCGAAACTAGTAGAGCTTCTCTCACTCGCGATTTTTATTTAACTGAAACAACTCTTGCGCAGTTTTTATAGTGCGACTACCTTCTGCCATCTACTTAGCCCACGTTCCTGTAGGATATAAAGCAGCCTATTTATTATTCCTCCATAGTCTTCCCCTGTTCCAAATTCCGTCACAATCCTTTTCAGCCGTTTTGACTTGATTTTGACTGCAAATTTCAAATAGTGTAACTAACACGAATATCTTCTATAAATATATATACTAGCTTCTACCCGCGACTTCGTACGTGCAATCTCATTTTTTTCCGTTCCCATTCGTGATTTTCGCTGAACAGTAAAGAAAAATAGAGTATTGTATAGAAAATATCCTTTCTCTCTTTCTCCTTCTAAGCTACCTCCCCACCAATTGTTAGATATACTGTGCGAGAGTGAGATAGCTATATGTTTGTTTGTCTCGACCTAAAGTGTAACAGACTTGCAATAAAGTTAAGTTTTATGAATTTATTTGTTTGTAATGTAATAGTTTTGGTGTCGTGTGAAAATATTTTAAGATCATACTGAATTTTAGTCAAAGACTCGTACGGTTATGTCAATAATAATTACTTATTTTAGTAATTAACCCTTTGAGTACCGTCATTAAAGAACAATAGGTTGCGGTCACCGGTGTCCTCGCGGTGTTTGACAGTTTAATTTTCATTATCATCATCAACAACAGCCTACAGGCCACAGCTGACCAAAGGCCTCTTCTCACACGGAGAAGGTTTGAGCATTAATCACCACGCTTGCTCAATGCGGGTTGGCGATTTCAAACTTATAATTACAAATTATAAGCCCAGGTTTCCTCACGATGTTTTCCTTCACCGTTTGTCAGAGTATCTTAGAAAGTATATATATTTAATATAATTAGATAGAAACTGTCCAGTCGGTCCGTCACTGAAACTAAGTGTTCGATATAAATCTCGACCCGAGAATTGAATTAATAAGCTTTACATCAGTAGTAATATCTATAAGCAACTTAACTATTAAGGTATGCTAAAAAAAATCCTAAAAATCAGTTCCAAAAATATTTTCACACGATACTGAAAATGACAAAACATGACAAGTTTAATCGTAGTGTCCAATTGTATATTTATTTGTTTTATATATATATTATATAAATACAATATTATATAATGTAGATGCCTAATGGTTGTATGTATATGCTAAATATTGGTCCTAAAGTCTTTGACTCTTGACCGTCAGTTAAATTTCATCACGTTTTTTACATGGCAATAGGCTCACCCCCTATTATATGGGACTCATAACATGAATAGCGAAAAGTGGCTGTTACATTATAATGTGGACCTATGTTTACGGCTTCAGAGAATAGAAGGTGTTTTGCCAGCGTAGCTGATAAGTGAAGTTCCAAGTTTGATTCTCGAGTCATGCAAAGTTGTGCATGTCTAAAAAATGTGATAAGCATTCAAATTAGGTTTAGTGTTAATTCACAATAATGGCAAAGTCACAATACTCATAAAGTCTAGATTTTACGAATATATTCTTCGCTTTCGCTTAAAAAGCTAAAAGCGTTAAACATATAGTTAGTACATTTGTAGATAAATTTTAAAAATATGTACACCCTGTATATATTAAGTCTTGACTTTAGAGCAGCCTGTACATATTGCGCGAACGCTAATCTTAAAAAAAATCACTTTAACATAAATTTTTAAATTGACATTAACACATGGTGTTGTCATAATTGAGGAGGCTATTTTTTTTAAACACCATGTGTAATGTCAAAGCTAACTGACGGTCAAAAGGTGGAATTATGAATTTTTCAATAATAATGTCGTATGAAATTCAATTTTTTGTGTGTAAAAGTCCTAGTTTCAAAATATTTCTATAGACTCACCCTCTCTCTTTGTGCCTTTAGGCTTAATTCATTCTGTCTCCTGCAGTAATTCACCGAGGGAAGTGGAAACTATAGTTTTCTCTTCTTCTCCTCTTATAACATCTTCTGATTCACTTTGTTGCGGGAACCAAGACAGTTACTCATGTCCCTGGGACGCGCCGGACTTCAGTGTTCCGGTGTTTTCATGGTTGTATCTACTGTAGATCCTGGCTTACAGGAGTTGCAGCGGTTTTGGGAGGTTGTGGCGGGGTTGTCCTATTAATAAAAGACTCACCTCTATTACACGGGACTCATAACATCTGCACCTCTGTCCACCCCCTTTTGGGGATTAATAACCGTGAGTGTTCCTTGTAGTCAGATTTTAACTATGGTTGTTTTAATGGTAGCTTATAACAAAGTTTAGTTAAAAATTTGAAACTGGGAGTGAAATAGTCATTTGTATAATCATGTTTTATAATTAGTGATGTGCCGGATCCCGGGTCGAGCAAAGAAATACTGATTTTATTTTTATAATTCTCAATAGTAGCACGGAGTTTAGAATTGTGCCCGATATGTGGCAATAGGCTCACTCCCTATTACATGGGATTCATAACATAAATAGTGAAAAGTGGGTGTTACATTGTACAGTTGCATTAAGTGCCGCAATGTGTACACATTAGTACGCAGAGGTACCTCTGTCTACCATTTCGGGGACAAAATGCGTGATGTAATGTTATGTATACCGAATTCGGTGTCAACTAACAATACTTATATTTCTTCTACCTCTGATATAGATACGGATATCCGAAACATCACTATTTAAAATACATGTTCCAGGCAACTAGTTTTATATAAACCATTCAATTTGTTTGTAAAATGATAATAGGGTTGATGACTAATTTTTATTTTAATGTCCGTCTGGTAGATTATTTAAAAACATTACACACGTATTTTTATTTTCTTACGGAAAAAAATAGTTTCGATGATATATCGATTTGAAATGTCGCGTGACGTCACTTCTATGCTCATTTTATACGTAGAAATGACGTTTTAGCACCCACTCCTAAACTTTGATTCGTTATATTTTATTATACAACAAAATAAAATAATACGTGTCTAATATTTTTTCATTACCTAACTGACGGACTAAATACATTTTTAATTTTCATACCCTGTCGTCATCCCTATTATCGCTGTACATTTCTAGTAGCTGTTTATTACTGATAGCGATCCGATTTCGGCTTCGCAGTTCTAAACTACCATTTTGGTAGGAACTTGGTTTTAACATTTTGAATGCCACGGTCGGCTGTATCTGGCAAACAAAATATGACTTGATCGAGTAGAAAACATGATTTTTACGTACATTTAGTTTGTCGCTATAGCCGACCGCGGCGTACAAGACGTTAACTATCGACTTAAAATTCATTAAGTCAGTAACCTGCGACATTTTACTAAATGTATACGAAATCTGCAAAACAATGTACAAAAATGTACTAACAATACATTCCCAATTTACCCGACTTTACTTAATGTAAAGATGTGTGCTGCTTTGTTGAATAATTTTATGTGAAAATGTAATTTTGAGTTGTAAGTCCTCTTTTACCTATTTTAAAACATGGTTCAACATTAAAATTGTAAAAAAACAACGCTTGCGTTGTGTGACCGGAATCCCACTAACTTTCCCCTTTCCTCTAAACCCCCTTCCCCCCTTTCTCCTTCTTTCCATACCCCATCCCCTTTTCTCTTTCTCAAAAGGCCGGTAACGCATTTGTAACGCCTCTGGTGTTCCGGGGTGTCCATGGGCGGCCGACTGCTTATCATAAGACGATCCGTCTGCTCATTTATCCTTTAAAAATGGCAATAAATGTTTAACCAGGTTTTAATATTATTTATAAAACACTGTTCTATGCGTGTAGTGATATTATGTTTGAGAAGTCGTCCATAAACAAGTTATTTATTATTTAATGTTATGTTTAAAATGGGACCAAATAAATAAATGGTGTATATTATTTATTTTGTTTTTTATTTAATTTTTTTTCGATTTTTTACCTATTTTTATGCTGCCTTTGAAGTGTTATTTGGTTGAAATGGGTATAAAAATCAGCCAAGTGCAATTCAAACTCGCAGAACTATGAAAATGAGAGGATAAGTAATTCTAGTAGTAATTTCCGATGATAAAGTAGCCAAATTTTAATTCTGCCTGTAAAACTAGAAATCCTAGCTAGAATATGACTCAATTTTCCGAACCCACCTAGATACACCCTAAGCTAAGATGTATTTTACAATTAATTGAACAGGGTTGGAATGACCTCAGATGAAGTTGCCCCTATTTATAAAATCTCAAACCTATATAAGCAAAAACTGATAATATTTTCGATAGAATAGCTTAGGACTGATCTTCTCACATCAATTACAAATCCAGCAAGATCTCGAAAAATAGAGGTCCTAGTTAAAAGATTACCAAATTTTCATACCCTATAATATGACACATCCCCATAAACACAGGTATCAGTAAAGACATATTTTCTAATCAGTGGATACGGTGGTCTGTGTTACCCAGGCCAGGTCGAAAATGGGCATTTGAATCTTATAGAAGCAGTTACAAGCTTTAAAATAACGTTTAAAGTAAGTCTTTAGAGCTCTTATTGAGAGTGCTGGGACCAATTGAACTGTTTTTTTCTATTAATGAAAAAACCTTTAAGCTATGTATTATTTTGGTGTTTTTATTGCACAACAAATTTAAACTAATTGCTAAGAAGCCATGTACAAAATATGATAAGAACCCGCTAAACCATTTCAAAGATCTAGCAAAACCAAAAACGATCTAGCAAAATCACGAATAACTTCGCAACCGATGAAAGAACAAATACAAAACA